TTTTCTTATATTGTTCCAACAATCATTTTTTATTATCTCTATTGGCCAATTATTTGTTGATTACGTCATCTGGGGCCGCGAGTCGGCGAATGCAGTCGGTCGGAAAAAACACGTGTTTTCGGCGGCCGAGGTAAACAAATTACAGTACCTATAGGTAGCTTTGGGTGATATGCTATTTCTATTATTGAAATCGCGTCTCCTGCCGTCAGTACTTTTTCGTCGCAGTGATTTTCACTTTTAGAATTTTCTTCAATAATTGTGGTATTCAGTTCTGCCTCTGATTTGCAATGGCAATTATTATTTGAAGTGAAGAAGGCCTTGTTATGGCCCTGCACAACCTCGCTGAAAAGTGAAACTGAAACGGCTGGAATAACAGTATTGCAACTGGTTTCAAATTATTCTTCAAATTTCCTCGAAGTCAGGCTTAGACCTATGAATAACATCAGATTTGCAAGCATGTTCAAACTGCTCCGTTAATCTCCAGAACATCAGGCTCTCTTCTGATGCTTACAATGCCTGTGACTCAGATTGCAACATTATATTGCTAAGAATGGCAGTTCAGCAAGATGTATGTGCAGGCAGAGGCACTTAGCCAATGCACAATGCAGTGCAGATTAATTGTGGTGTGAATTTTGTGTGGATCAGTGCACAATGCATGCCATGATGTTGTAAATGCCATGCCGAATGGCTGTGCTGGGATATGAGCTGACACTGTTGAGTGTTGATGCAATGCTATCTAAGAAATTTTCAGAAGGTAAATGAGACATCATTGAATATTAGTGTAGTTTCAATATAAGTGCAGAGTTCCCAAACTTGCAGCATTTTTTCGTGTGATTGTGCACATTTCCAGCCTATGTGCGTGCTAGTGCGGAATACTTAGTTGCTAGATTGGCTGGCACAGCTTGTCAAGTGTCAACTCTGTGGTAAATGTGAAGATGAAGTCCAGTGAAGATTTTGAACATCTAACCTGACCTAACCTTACCTTCTAACTCAAAGCTTTCAACCTACCAATATACTACCTATGAATCCACCAGCCTAAAACCTACAACCTAACTCCTACAACCTACCAAACTCAAATCTACAATCTGGACTTCATCTACTCATATATCAACTCTATTGCCTGATAATCTTTTCTTGTTTCACACAATCTTATGGTCAGATATGTCTTTCTGAAGCAATAGGCCTAGTCAAAGAATGTGATAAGTTAAGCAATTTTGCACAAATGGAGATAAAAATAAATTTATGTATATGAGTGTTTTTGAGCTAAGTTGTGTTTCAGTGGTGATAAATGGAATGCTGTCATCATCACATTGCATTGCCACCATGATCAAAGGCATTAGGAGCATTAGGAGACAGAAGTATTGACTATTGAGATGAGCCATCCATTTGTGTTTTTACCAATGCATTACCTTAGACCTTTAGGGAAAAGTGATCAAAAGTTGTTGAGTGAAGGGGAATATGGAGAAGAGCATTTATTGTTTGTTTTGGGAAGAAGAAAGTCAATTAAACTTATGAAAAAGAAGTGATCATGCATTGTATTATGAGCCCAAATCAAACAGGATTCTCTCATGACCATACTAAATGCACAACCCTTAGCTGTTTGTGCACAGTGGAACCCGCTTAACCCTCGCCGGACTTATTGGTTTTCTACATAAGCGCCGGGCGGGGGCCGGGGTGGGGGGGGGGGGCGGGGGGTACGACCCCATCTCGCCGTTTCGCCCCTAATGGAGCTAGAACGTCGCAGAAAAGACGAGCGTGTGTGTCGTTACGAGATGCAGCGTTTTGTACCCGATTTTAAGGTCTCAGGTCAACCGGTGACCTCTGAGGTCAGGTTAAGTGGCCCAAGGTACGGGTTCGGTTTTGGCGAATAACTTCACAAAAAAATGATTGCAGGGCCGCGATTTTGACAGCATCGTATTCGCCCTGCTCAGGCGCGTCGAATGGTATTCTTTTTATTTGGGTGAGGCCAACTTTGGGTGTTGACCTCGGGTCACGGTGAGGTCAGAGGTCCCAAGGGCACGAACTTGGTCGAAGGAGGTCATGTCACATATCATTCGATTTGGCAGGTCTTCCCGAGTCTATTGGTGGGTTTCCCGACTCGCTAGCTCAATTTGATCAGAAGTTATTGTCGAAAAACTTATGACACTAGTGACGTCATCAATGACGTCATGCAAGCTCTTGGTGCAAAAATGAAGCATCGAACCTTGTAAAGAGTGCATGAAATAATCACGGTTGCGTGTGTTACAGCTAGTCTGAGATCGTTCTGGGCTCCAAAATAGCTGTTTATAAGTTTCCCCCATTGGCTTATAATGGTGACTTCATATGACCGGCCTGACCTCATGTGACCTTGAATAAAAAAGCGAGATATACACGTTGTGAGACTTCTGGAGGATACTAGGTCCTGCAAGTTTCATCTCCTTGTGAAATCTGCTCTGACACTGAGGGCGTTGCGAACTTGCGGTATCTGAGGGCCGTGCAGAGGTTCACTTATGACGTCAAAGGTCAGTGACCTGACCTGACCTGAAAAAGCTGCTGGTATTGCAAGATCCGGCTTGAATCAAAGGTCAGGTTCATCACTACTCGGTATGTTTCGAGCATTCGAAAAAGCAACCATCAAGATGTAATTGAATGGTACCGTTTAGGATTGCACCTTCCCGCCTATCGCCAAATTTCAGCGTTTTATGTATGTACCATCGCCAAAGTGGATGCGGGTATCGATAGAAGAAAGATCAGGCTGTCGTATGGTACACTCGGTTTATACGTATCTCGACTAATAAGTTAATGAATCGACTTTTAGTTTTGCCTTCGAAATCGGTATCTCCCATAGGTAAAGCACTAGTGAAGGGAAAATAAAAAAACCTTCACGCTCTGCCTACGTCACCAGAGCGTGAAGCTACCAATGCCATTGACTGGGGGCCGAGTAGAACTCGACTTGGAATGTCCCTAGTATTCTATGACCGTGCAGGGGGATGTCGTCCCGGTTCTCCCCATGTATTATTCGCCAATCAGCTTAACACTACCAGTGACGTCACTGGTGGATCGCCAATCGGGGCCGTCCGGCCGGCCGGCCGGGCCCGTAGAAGGCCAAGCGCAGACGTTTTCAGAAAAGCGTAGGCCGTATAGATACAGTCGTGGATGGAGTTTTGCTGTAATTCGGCTCTGCAAGAGTGCGTCAGGGTACCAGGACCCGGATAAAGGTCATAGGGAACCGGTATCTGATAAAACCCGCTCACGGCGTAGCAGCCGACTTCGACCCTTCGCCCTCGTAAAGCACAAAAGTTTGCCGGTCATCAGTCCACCTGCATCTCCTCATCTGCTTACTGCCTATATCGACCAGTTACTGCAGCCGTTTTGGAGCGGCTCTCGGCCGATAACACGCCGGGCGTGCGCTAGCCGCCGCCGGTGCTAAGCGCTAACCACTGAGTGCGCACTGCGCGTGGCCGACTGCCGCCCCGATGGCGCTGGCCCCCGGCACCGACACCGGCGCGGCGCCGCTGATCCATGGGGGGGGGGGCTGCTAATTAGTTGAGCCGGAATTGGGATAGAAGCCGGTACGGGATTGGGATAGCAACTCAGCGAGACTAAGGGACTGTGTTGTGCCTTCGGTAAGCCCCCAAAATCACCGGTGTAGTGCCCTCAGGGCCGCCGGTTTTGAAGCCTTTGGAGGCACTGGTGTGGGCACTCACAGGTAGGTACCGGTGTGAGGCCCTCAGAGGCATTGGTGCGGGGCCCCCGAGGTGCCGCTGTAGGCCCTCTGAGGTGCTAGTGTGTGGCCCTCAGAGGCGCCGGTGAGGGTCCTCACAGTTGCCATTATGGGCCCTCAGAGACACTGCAGTGTGGGGTCATCACACTCGGGTGTGGGAGTTGGGACCCTTAGAGCTGCTGGCTCGAATCCTTTATAAGCCGACAGGGGCTCTCAGAGACCGACAAGGGGCCCTCAAGAGGTCTGCGGTGTTTTCAGGAGCCCTGTGGAGTCCTTCGAGACCAGCAAGGTACTCTCAGACGCCGGTGGGGGCCCTCAGAGTCGTCGGTGTGGGGCCCTCAAAAGTCACCGGTGAGTGGCCACTGGCCGTCCGATGCGAGGGTCCCGTCTGGGGCCGTCAGAGGCTCCGGCGTTCAGCCCTCAGAGCCGCCGATAAATATATGGCCAAAAAGCACTGATTTGGGCCTTTGGGACTTCATTCAGGTGTGCCGGTTGAACTCAGAGATGGCAGTGTGGGGCCCTCAGCTGGGCACCGGTTTGGGGCTTTCACAGACGCCGGTGAGGGCCCTCGCAGGCGCCGTTGTGGGGGCCTTCAACCATTGGTTTAGGGGGTCATCGCAGGCGTGTGTGGAACCCTTAGAGCCGCTGGTCCCTGATAGGCCGCTAAGGGCCCTCAGAGCCCGGCAAGTAGCCCTCAGAGGTCGCCAATAGGCCCTGAGAGGCCGGCAAGGGGCCCTCAAATGCCGACAAGGGACAATAAAAAGCCGGTGTGTGACTCTTATGGAGAGAAGTGTGGCTATTCGGAGCACATAAGGTGTTCTTTTGAGCCTTTTGGGGCCCTTTTGGGTCGAAAATGCCAGCGTGGACCCTCAGCCGCCAATTGGCGTCGCAGGGCCCCTCGGGCCCGAGAGGCCCCCTGATCCGATGGGGGCACGTGCCCCCTGCCCCCCCCCCCTCCGGGTGCAAATAGAGAATGCAATCGGCGGTGCGGGACACAACAATTGCAATCGTTCCTTCTCCCGTCGCGAGGTCGCCCATCCGACCCATATCCCAAGATTGTCAACCCTGGGGCTCGGGTCGGCAATGCATCGGCAAGGAAATCAGCTTTAGGTGGGTAAAAAAGTTATTAAGAGTCATTAGTTGTCGTTACGTTCAGTAATAACAACGATAAAGTGCCAAATGTACCAGACATACGGCTTGGAGCCGGGCGCCGCGCGGTCTCCTCCAGTGACGTCACGCTAATGCTTAGCGACCGGTCCATTGGAAATTGCGGGATGATTCTACCTCTCTTATACGGCCTTGTGACCGTGGGAATGTCCCTGCTTTAGAGAGACGTACTCAGCAGTTATTTGAACTTCCGATCACTGAAGGTGAGCAAGATCATTTGTGATTCTATTAAAAGTGTTGTCCGTCCTTACTCCTTAGAGTGAGTTTGAGTTCGAGTTGTCGTTGTTGTTAAAGTTGTTAGGGCATTTCAATTTTGCTCCTGTTGGTGAGAAGTCAGATTTGAGTTCAGTAGGCGGAACTATGGTCATGAGTACCCAAATATAGGAACGTCCCCATTTTTGGGAACGGAGTTCCCAAATATGGGAACGGGCGTTCCCATTTATGGGAACGGAAGGTAATTTTTCGGCCGTTCGCCCACTAAAACTCATTAGTGCATCACGTCTCAAAAAAGTGCACGCTAATTTAAGTATCTACTAAGTCTCTATAAAATTATCTTTAATCTGACCGTTGCACAAGGAAATTGACCGTCGAATGATATTTTTAATGATTTTTTGAAATGATGGAATGGGGAAAACATGGGTTACACTACATTTAACTTGCAGTTTTAAGGAAAATGAAGCGTTTTTTACATTTTGAGGTCAAGTATAATAATTTTCGCCTGGTTATTAAGTTTCATACTAGCGACACCAGATGCTGACATATGCAAGCGAACACGCGGACAGTCCGGGGGTAATATTGGTGACATTTGGTGTCGGGGCGCACGACCGCATGGAACGTCAGTGATTTTACCGAACTACTGTTGTAAACTCAGTTTCAGTGGTTTAAAATTATTCAGCTGTATTTTATCATCCCAGAAAGACATATTTTATTTGGATGCTAGCTGTTTAGAGCTGTTTTATAAGGAGCGTCATGAGCGTGGTTTTTGTCTTCCGTGTTTCTAAGCATGATCGTTTTGGGGGAATTTCTCTTTCATAGGTCACTCTGTGTGGCTTATTTATAATTTTTATGCTGATTTCGATCATTCCTCGTGCCCATCCTACCAGGCCTTTTGCCACTTACACTCATCAAGAAAGGAAAAAACTAGATTTTCATTGGGACTAGGTGTTTTGAGGGTGTAACATATTCAGCGTTCCCATTTTTGGATACTTCCTTGTGCTCGTCAACTATCGGTGATAAACAGACAGGTGCTTGACATGTCTCCACCCTCGGCGCGGACGGTGGATATAGGTATGGAAGACCTTGTTGAACATCGCTGAGCGTTGTGAATTACGTAATCCTGCAGAGGGGGGCGTGCCCGCTGCGAGATCGACGGGAATAAAAGCGCAGAAGACCGGGCGAAACATGCGACGGTCTTGCCGGAAAGGTCATCTGATGATTGTTGCGTTAACAATAATTTGCGGCGTTGGACGTGATGCTTGTTAATGAAAAGAGCCCCTGAAAGGCGTCGGTGAAATCGTTCCCAATTTTGGGTACGCCGTTCCCATAATAAGGAACGCTTGCAGCGCCAGTGTACGAGAGCGTTCCCAAATTTGGGCTCGCGGCCCGGATGATGGACTGCTTTAGAAATAGGGGAACGATTTGAAACTACGATGGGCCTTACAATATCAAACTCTTTCCCAACAATATTGAGACAAATATCAGGCGGTTCACGATCGTTTTATATTTTTTTGACGTCATTTAACGGTTCTTTTTCTTGTTTTAAATAATGCCTACATGGCGTTCCCATATTTGGGTTTATCGTTCCCAAACATGGGAACGATAATGCGTTCCCGAAAATGGGTACGCTTGACCATAGTTCCGCCTACTGAGTTGCTGTGGAGCTTAAAATATGAGACTCCAGTCTGGGCCCCGGGTGATGATTCAGATACGTTCCGAACCAGAATGACTGATGACTCAGACTGGATTCGTATTGTCTGTGTCAGGTGTTTGTGTTAGGTTAGGATACGAGTTTAGATATTAGGATACTCGTATAAACATGTTACCTGAGACATGCTGCATGCTTACCATTCTAATTTGCTTATGATGTAGTTGATCCGGAATTGGAATGAATTAAGTGTGCATTTAGTTTCTGAGATATTTCAATTATGCATGATATTTCCAGGTGCAAAATGACCTTTGCAGATATAGCGCTCCCAAAACCTTTAAAAAACAACTGATCCTGGCTCAGACTCCGGCTCCGGCTCCCTGCTCCGACTCAGTACTTCCCCTTACAGGTGAAAGAAAAAAGGCGATTGGTTTGGTACATGTTGCTTCTATATTTGCATAGCAAGGCTATTTTCTCAACAGCACATTCAATCAGCGAACAGGGTATATAAGCATGCGGTGAAACATTATGTACAGGCATCTTTCTCAGAAAGAAATACTCGCAGTCCAATGCACTGGCTTCAAAACAATGGCTGTCACCTGATGACCGGCCCTCAGGTTCCAGTTCTGGGGATGCAGTAGACGTAGGGAGGGAAGAGCAGACAGGAAGTTCATTGCATACGGACACTGGGGAGTGGGGATACTTCAGCTTTTTTCATTTACGTGATGCCCATGAGGTACCAACTACCAACTACCACGTGTTTTACTACCTTGCACTGTCAAACCAAACTAGGTCAATAAATTGTTTCCTTAAAAAAAGCCGGAGTCGTCCCCTTCTTTGACGGCTCCGGCTCCGGGCAAAATGTGCCGGCTCCGGCGGCTCTGGCTCCAGCTCCGCCTCCGGCTCCGGCTCCGGCTCCGCATCCCTGGGTATAGGTATCGGTATAGCCCTCGCCCGTATTGGTGTTTTTTTTTCCAGCCGGGAACGTATAAGGGGGGGGGGGGGTCCGTTGGACCCCCCTTGCCCTTTCGCCCCGGATCGAGCTAGAGGTTTGCGGAAAAACGAGCGTGCTGCCCGTGACGAGAGGAAGCCGATGATACCCAATTTTAAGGTCCTAGGTCATTGGTTGACCTTCCAGGTCAGGTCAATGACCCAAAAGTTGGTAAAATCGGGACATGTTAGAACGTCGTAAAGTGCGGCTGCTATGGGTTTTTTTCGGGGTGCTGATCACGAATATCATGTTAGTTTTGATCACAGATGATATCTTCATGCATTTAGGCCAGGTCGGGTCAGGTCAGGTCAGGTCATCCAGTAGGGGTCCTGCCGGGTATTCGTAGTAGGTGTCAACCGCCTCTGACAGCTTCGTAACATGTTACGAAGGCACCAAAACAACTTCGTAAATGTTCATATGGTTGCTTCGTAACATGTTACGAAGGCACCAAAACAACTTCGTAAATGTTCATATGGTTGCTTAATTCGAATTCAGCTCCAAAAACTGGCCTAATAACATGTAAAACTCGAAAAAGTGAACCGAGGTCATCAAAAGTCAATGACTTGACCTGACCTTCAGGTGACCTTGACACCTACCCTAATGCATGGGGGCAACATCATATCACATGTTTGAACGCTTGAAACCTCGAAAAGACTGCAAAAGCGCGGCTAATGCGATCAGACGCCCGACATACGCCGAATCGCGATTCCGGCCAAACATGGTCTCGAAAAGTAGGTCACAGGTCAAAGGTCATTTGGGTCAGGATCATGAAATTTTCAGGGTAGGTGTAAAATTGATCAACTCGAGGGTGTTGAAAGTTTCGTCGCAATCGGCCGCTTTTTGCGCGAGTTATTCGCGAAAAACCGAGGGGAGGGGGTCCGTTCGACCCCCTCCCCCTATACGGGCGAGGAATAGGTTAGGTATAGGTATAGCCTATAGGTAATGCATATGTATAGGTTTAGTCTTATGCTGCATGCTGCATCTGTGGTACTGCATGTTTGGGTGAATGCTGCAATCTCACAATTCACATAATCTTTCGATGAGTCCGGCTCGCCTCTGCGCTCGGTCCGACTGATTGAATGACATTTCTCGTGCTGCATAGTTCATAGTGACATTGCTCGTGCTATCTCGTGGTGACATCAAGGCGTTATTTTATCATTCACATGATCGTAGAAGTACCTATTTATATTTTATTTATTTTGGAATCGGGACAACGGTAAAAGTAATCAGCACTCGGCTTTGTATCAGTGAAGCCACACGTGACACGAACTTATCGAAGCTCGTTCAATCTGGATTGGCCTTTTTTGGTAAACTCAATCATGTTCCATGAAATAAGCCAAATAGTATTTGTCTGTTCGAATGTAATTTGTTCTTTAATTTTCGACATTGAGCGACAAAAATAAAACTTATTGAAGAGGACTTTAAATGAAAGCATCATTTTATTGGTTTAGGATCACCGGGGGTGGGTGGCCCGAAGTCCCGAACCTCCCGGTTAATACGCCAGAATGCGCGTAGCATCTCAGCTCATAATCTTGCAAGAAAACTTCAAATTGTCTACCCACTACCCAGTCTTAATTTACATGCTTTGAACTTTATGTTAGCGATGGTCTGACATAATGAAACGAGCCTAGTTCACATTAATCACGAATTTTCTGTATGTACCGTATTTTACTCGAAGAGGGCAAAAACGCTTTATCGCCGTTCATTGAAGGCTGAGGAAGGTTTTGGAAATCACGTGGGTTGTATATCGAAATGGTTGCTACCAGTTCACGCGGTCAAATGTGTAAAAATACGCATCACTTTTTCAAACTGCGATGGCCCATACCTCCCGGGGCCCATACCTCCCGGGTCTCCCCTATGTATATGTTTTGAATGTACTGGATCATGCTGTTTGGTATAAGTTGATGCAAGTCCTCCGTGTGGTCTGGTGGCTAAGGCCTCCGTCTCGTAACTCAGTGACAGTGAGTTCGCGGCCGGGAAGCTCCAACGTCGTCTGAACCCCTTTTCTATGTTCAGCCAGCTGGTAACTGGCGAGAGAGGGCCACGCTAGACCCGGGAGGACCATGCCGCCATCTAACTACTTCCGATTAAAATTATCGTCGGTGAACCGGGCGCGGGCAAGGTCGGGTGGTGGGTGCGTGGTGTCATTCGCAACAAGCACCGCTTAGCGTGGCACCCGGGCCATAGGTGGAACTTTGTATCGAGCTGGGGATGCCCGGGAGCAACAAATCCGCCGCCGCCCTAGCGGTGACCTTGACCTCCGCCGTCTGTTGCTGCTCCAAAGCCAAGCCGGCGTGGAATTGAGAGAGCTCGGGCACCCCGAGCTCGGCACAAACTTCCACCTTTGATCGGAGCCCCAAATCGTTCCGTCTTTTCCGTCCTCAGCAGGACAGTCAAATCCTTCTCCACACCTGAAACCCCTGCTCCGGGCTGGATGGGCATTTTTATCCCATGCGGGAAGCTCCCATAGGAGCACGCCCGTAGCCGGGTGCAATGAGTCTTTTGGGGGCTGGGTGGCCTCAGGCCAGTCCACTGGATGGGTTCAGCTCCGACGACTCCCTAGGGTGCCCACTGCCCGTCCATACCAATGTATCCGGTCTCCCCCAAATTGCTATCATCCTTCCGGCTCTAAAATGGTCTCGTTAGACCAAAAGAGCCTAACCCAACAAAGCAAACAAACAAACAAACAAACAAACAAACCGGGTCCAAAGCTACCCATTCATCCAATCGGACTAATTTTTTTTTTATTAATGAACTCAGTTTTGTCCCATTCCACAATGAATCGCTTGAGGCTGAGGTCGGGTCGGAACGTTCGAGAAGTATTTTAGATACCACATATCTTCAGCTTGATTCGAATGATAGCATTATAAATGTTACAATTTTTTATGTTAGCGAAATGGTTTTGTCCTATTTTAACTTATACTATCGCAATTTAATTGCATAATTGTGTAACAATAACTTAATGATATACCTAGCCATCTTTGCAAAGTTGCTTTAATCTAAGAATACGTGTGTACAATTTAAGTGTGTGAACCGAAGGTTTAATTTGAGGATCAAGCTTATTTCTGTGAGTGGCCCGTGAACTGCGCGGCGGATGTCTGGTACTGTGGACACTCGATAGTTGTTTGGACTGGGCTGAAGGCCACGTGCCGGCGCGGCGCGGCGGTTGGACCGCACTCGGTGGTGTACCGCGCGGCGGCGCTCGGCGGCGGCCGGTCCGGTGACCCTGGCTGATCGGTCGGCGCGCGTCTGTTCCAGCCACCGGCGGCGCGGCGGCCATGTTGCAGACCGGCCGGCAGTACCTAGACTTGGCCGTGTTCTTCGTCTTCTTCTGCGGCTCCGTCTACAGCAATAAGTATGTGCTCACCTCGCTCCACTTCACCTACCCGACCATATTCCAAGGCTGGCAGACGCTGTTCGGCCTCGTCTTCATCAAGCTGGTGACGCTGTGCAGCAAGCAGGAGCGGCTCTACGGCCTGGACAAGCCGGGCTTCCTCTCCCTGCTGCCAAACTTCCTCTTCTTCACCGGATCTGTGGTGGCCGGCTCGAAGGCGCTGGCCGACATATCTGTGCCCATCTTCCTGGCCGTGCAGAATGTCACCGCAGCGTTGGTGTACATCCTCGACCACGCGCCGCGCTTCAAAGGCGCTTCAGCCGTGTCCCTGCTGGGCTCAGCCTTCCTGGTCATCACCGCCGCGCTCATCGTGCTGCTGGACCTGGACATGACGTTCAAGGACTCGCCGTACTTCTGGTTGATGACCCACATCGTCTGCAGCTCGGTGCAAACTCTCCACGGCCGCGTGGCTGACGCGCGCTACTCGGACATTGACCGACTCTACTACAGCTACCTGGTCAGTGTCATCGTACTGGCGCCGTCCAGCCTCTACCTGGAGGAGGCCTTCCTGGTACTCGATTTCCCCTACAAGAGCCAGGCGGACTTTCTGGCTGGCTGCCTGGTGTCGGGTATCAGCGCCGTGCTGCTGGCCATATTCAGTATCCACGTACAGGAGGTGCGGTGCGCGGCCAGCGTGCACGGCGCAGCGCGCTCTCTGGCCGCTCTCGGCAGCGTTTTCCTGTTCAGTGACACCAAGATGGCGCCAGCCGTGGCCATTCTTGTGGTGATCAACATGTGCGCCTCGCTCCTGGTGGCGTGGCTGCCGCGACAGACACTGCAGCTGCCGACCGAGAAGCGGCCGCCGCCGGTCATTTCAAGGGATGACGCCGAGCAAGGCAAGCCGCTCATTGAGGCCAGCGATGATGAAAAGTAGGGCTGACAGGCGTCTCTGTGCGCAGAGGCCGGTGCTCAGTGGGACTCTGTGTGGAATCACGGTATTGTGTCGCGCTGTTAGTGGGGGTAAGCCGTCACACTGTTGGTTGGTGTCTCGGTCTCGGTAAAATGTCTGGGTACAGCGCTTCGTTGTGGGCCTTGGCACGGTGCGCGTCTCAAATGGTGTTGACTGGGGGCTGTGTGCTGTACGGCCTGTCTTCTGGGACCAGTGGTGTCTTCCGTTCTCGATACCGAGCCATTCACACGGCCTCGTGTGGCGTGGGTCACATGTGTCTCAAATTAGTCGGACAGTAGTATTTCAGGTGCACTTTTGCATGTAGATGTAGTAGTTTTCAACAGCTTATTCAAATACTGGTGCGAGTACTTACCCTTTATTTTGGTACTATGCTTGCTTTGTGACGTTGCACTCCTTTCATGGATCTCAGGGTATTGCGGTTATGCTATAAATCACGTTATAAATTATATATTATTTCCAGCCATACATAAGTCATCCTATTGATTCCTTTTAGAAGAGTTCTGATGGGTTGGTGTTCTAATAAAGCAGGAGTGCTTCAACGGATCGTTAGGTAACTTTCAAAGTTCACGGTAGTTGGTACCTACCGCCTTAGGCTTGCTACAAAACTTAATTTACATAATAGCCTGTTCTTGAGAACATGACTTGCTTACGCCAGCAGATTGTTGGTTGTTCCAGAGGCCAGAACACTGTCTGACTTGTGTTTTGCCACTTTCTCGTGTATCCGGCCCGTGTATCTAATATGTCTTCATAATACCAACAGGAGTCGCCAAAAGATAGTACCTGAGTCGTTTGAATCAGGTGAAATGTATTGGATTCGCTGATCGTTATCACAAGGCTAATATCTCGTGATTTATGTTTGACGTTGTCATGCACCTGACCTCTAACTTAAAATGTTTGGGAGATTTACAATGTCATTAGCTTTCGTTCGCGTGAACTTTGAAAAAAAGGAGGGTTGTTATCTCCTCTCCCCAGCCATTGAAGCGATTCTAGCAAAGCCAGATTGAGATTCTGTATGTATGTACGTTTAGCTGATACATCTATTCAGGACTACCTGGCTAGCCAATATTCCGTTAAAGGTAGTGTGCCACCTTTGAAAGATTTCCCGTTTTATTTTTCCTAGGATAAGAAGCTTCTGTTTTTACCTAATATCGCAAAAAAATCAAAAATGGGCCTGGAATAGTGCCTTTTTCGCCTAAAAGTTTATCGGTTTTTAGATATGTATAACAACTGTAGTGGGCTCACCTGCAAACAGGCGTCGGGCAACAATCGCGAATGCGGCGCACTTGTGACAATAAGCAAAGGTCATTATAGTGTTACGACCATACGACGTACGGGAATGAGTTATCAGCTGTCTAATCGTAGACAACACAATGTCGAGCCTTAAACTGTAAGCCTGTATTGGTATTGTTTCTTAAATTTGGCTGTCGAACATTAATTTGTGGTTTGAAATATGATTTTATGTAAAATAATTGATATGAAACAGCCGTCTCTTAAGTTATGACCCCATTACACCACACGCAAGTGGCAGAAATGACAATGATCAGCTGACGCATTTTTCTTGGCCGAAGTCAGAGCGCGCGGCCCGATGCACCACGCGTATTTGGAAATTCCGACCTCGACGAGCATCAGAAGCCACCTAACAGGCGTGTTCGAAACCGCAGGAGATGATGATGAACGGGTTTATCGAAACTTGATTGGATGAGCCTATCGGTAATAGCGATTTTAGTGTGTGCATTTATTGTTCATAGTGGTGTGAAATGTGGTTGGGGTACGACCGACAACCCGTCGGGGCGAATTTCGCACTGGGGTACTCAAAATTTGAAGAATTTAAGACGTTTCCATAAGTTTTGAAGGTATGGATAAGTTCTAAAAATCCGGTTCTCCTTATCCGGGTCATTAACTCCATATGGTCCAAGAAAGCTGGCACACTACCTTTAAGCTGTTGAATCTTTTGAATGCGATGTGTTAAGTATTGCTGTAAGCTGTTTCTTGTGCATCGTTCAGCCATAGACCTCTGTACACCGGTCGGCGGTCAGAGGTCTATGGTTCAGCGTATATGCTTGTCAACTTTGGGTCACACATATAAGTATTAACTTATTCGCCGACGACAACGAAAGAAACCGTAAGCGTATGTAGATAGCCGATGAGGATGTTAATTGTGGTTGATGCCAATCTCCTTTCTTAAACTTAGTTGCGATTAGGCTTCCTCTTATCGTCTTATGTTCTGGTCTGTGGAGCGGCGGAACATTGCTGTGAAAGTATCGCTTGGCGGTCGAGTGTAGACACAGATTTGTCTATTTTTCTGATGGGTGGTGTGCTGTTAGAGATCGCACTGCGCGCAGATCTTGCTTGAGGGTAAAATAAATATGAACTGTCAGTAGGTATTTGTCTGGAGTGTGTCTCAGCTGATGTAATCCAAGAAAGAATGCACTTTACAATTTTGGCACTGAAACCATTTATCATGATATTTGACGCCACTACGGCTTCATGAAGAACGTAGGACAACTGTCGTTACATTTTCTGCGAGGCGATCTTTTTTCAAATTCGTCCGTACCTCCTCGTCATGGATGGCAAAATGTCAGTCACCACATCTCTGCACGTGCACAGCTCTCTGACGTTTCGGCGCATCTAATTTCCAACGGTGAGTTAGGCTTGATTTGTTTTGTATCTGAGCATCTGAGTGAGTAAGACATTTACTGTCCATTATGCAAAGTTGTTCATGCTTCATCAGGATGTTAAAGTTTTGTTTACATGAGATGTTTCGCTTCCTCTCGCGCTGCCGGGTGAGGTTACATTATAGTGCTATGCGTATATCATGCTGTGCTACGAGTAGTTCCGGGATTAATTCACAACCAAAATGGGACAGTGTCTCCTTTGCGGATAGGCCAAGTTTCTGGCCAATGACCACTTTCCAGCCGTTCCCCGCTCGTACCCCGTCGTGCCTAATTCCTGCCCGCGCCCTGCCCTTTCATCTTCCCGTGTCCCACCGGCTGAACTCGCGCCCATACCCTTCCCTTCCCACCACATTTACCTACTTTGGTTTATAACCCTGATGGACTCTGCCCATCGTCGTCCTACTGTAGTTACTTTTGTATACTTCTCCCCACTGAATTAACTTTTATATACTCCGCCCCACCTTATTTCCTTTGTTTATACACCCTGCCCCGCCGAACTCAGTCCATAGCCCGCCCCCCCCCCGCAGCCCTCCCCGCCGGCCGTGAGACGGCTCCGGTCCGGGTTGATGCCCCCATAAAACTGGCCTCCGCCGTCGGTCGACTCGGCTCGGCGCCAGGAGTTGCCACACCCACCGCCGGCTAACGCTGATTGGTCCAGCCGAGTCCAGCCCAAGGGCGGTCGCGGGCGGTGGCGGTGCAGTAAACAGGTAACGGTGTGTGGATGCCGTGGATATTACCGAGCTAAACTTCCCGAGGTCGTGTGCATTGAGTACACCGGTCTGACGGTACGTGAGCTGGCCAGTCCGGAGATACGTGGGACCGTTTCGGCAGCTGCGCCCGTGGCGCCGCGCGGCGGCTTCGGCCCGGCCGGGGCGTCAGTCGGCCGCGGCAGGTACCGGTCGGCGGTGCGCGCTGACGCTGACGCTGATATCTGGAGGTGTGCCCGCTGACGCTGCTTCCCGACCATCCGCAGCGCACCGGCCGCATCATGCAGACCGTGCGGACTCCGGAGACCGCCCCTGAGGGGCCGGTCAGGTCGCTGATCGGATCGATCCAGAGCTCTGTGGTTGTGGTCGGCTCGGCGCTGGTCGTGCTCGCCGCCTGCGGCAACTCCATCACATGGTGAGTTCCGGACGCTCCGGCTCTGGGGAAACTAGTCACATGGTGAGTGAACTCACTGCGCGCCCCTTACGATCCTTCGTTAGATGGTGAGTCCTTCGTACTTTGTCACAGGCAACTCCGTCACATGGTGAGTGAAGCCTCCTCCCCCCTCCCCCCTCCGCGGCCGCTTGACTAATGTTTTGGGCCTCGTCCAATTCACTCTCCTGACGTATAGACGCAGACTATGAAGCTGCTAGCGTCGTCACACATCCTAGATTGCTTCGAGTCCCTCGATGTTCGTTCATATAAGCCCATAAAGCCGTGCCCTGTAAGCCTAAAAAGCCTAGCCCTGTCGGCCATAATTATCTCCAATGTCTTGGAGTTGCCTGAACGATAATGGGCCATTATCGACGGCTCCAGTATACTGCGACCTGATGCATCCCGAGTTCTAACCTTACTGATCCTCTCGAATTGTTGAGATGATCTTTGGTTAAAAACCGGTTAAGAGTGGGGGAGGGAGGGTGACCTTGCCAGTCGTGGGAATCCCAGATCCGCTGCGTTGTCCGTTATTTTCTCTCTAGCGTTGCGTTTAGTCAGATCTGCTGTCCGAGTTGTGACGTGAGTGACGAGGGTGGTCTTCCAACCCGCCTCCCCTCTGCCCCCTCCCCTTCCCGCCTAAGCCGTGACTGATGGGTCAGGCCGGGAGGGTTTGTGGAGGGCTAATGAGGTGTTCAATAAACGTAACAAACGTGTGCTACGAGTTTAATTAAGAACTTGCAATCACCCGTACCTATTTGAAATTAGTCGAATGTAATTTGTTGACCGACTTACCACCGAACACACGTATCTGACATTCTTAATTAGGTTCAACTTCAATTGATCCTAAATTGAAAACTTATCAATGCAATTTTCGCCTAGTGATTATTATCTCATCGTCACCTATATCGCGCCCCGTAGAAATATATTGCTTTTATTGGTGTTTGTCGAACTCGAGATGAATGGCGGTTGTTTTGTATGTTTCCAGGCACCTGCAGCAGTTCTGGGGCACGTCCGGTAACCTGTGGCAGTCCATCTGGGACCGGGTGTACGACTACTTCGAGGGCGACCAGTTCAACATCATACTCTATGGTAAGCTCCCAGCGGGCGGGCTTATCGTAATTGGTCAAACTCGTAACAAGTCAGACTCAGACACTGACTGCCCTTTTGGAAAGCTATACATCCGGCCAGTCAACCGCCCATTCGCCCAATTACCCAGCCTTATGAGCTTGTTTCAGATCTCATCTCTTTCATGTTGAATGAATCGAGTCCTTTTCGGTAGCCTAGATGTTCAAGGCAGATACATGACTGCACTATCAGGAATCGAGGCTCTAAAAACAAGGCTCTATCTATGTGAACCGATAACGTGTGCGTTCGATGAGAGGTGCCAGGTTCAGAGTCCATGGTCCAATGACCTTGCGGAGCGCAGCGGCATGGCGACACACCTTCGTTTCGAAACAAACAGAAACGTGTTTGAGCCGTCATAAAACTTGACCCGTCTTATAGCGTGATGATCAAATAAGCCCCTTTTCGTGGTGGATTCAGAGGGGCGGGAGCCTCAACAAGAGCCATGTGTTTAAGACGAGTAACCGTTTGGTGTCGGATCTGCCCCACAGTTGACAAATGCCGATGATATATTCAATAAGAAGTCAGTCGGTGAACCGGGCGTAGGAAGGCAATGTGTTGGGTCGGTGATTGGGTCCACGGAGCTACGCAGTGTGCTCTGCCGTTCGGACACCTTAGCCACCCATTCGACCGTTCGGACAAAGGATTATCAATATTGTGAACTTAGTAAGTCCAGATGTCCCCCATTCGCAGACCTGGTAAATAAAGTGTAACGTTAACAATTCCCTTATTCCTTTGATATGATCTCCATTATCAAATGAGCCGGACTCCCATTGCGTCTGCGCGTTACAGGCACGCCAGTGTTGGGCCTGCCCGTGTGAGTCTGACGGTCTATGTGTCGGTACGTTTCAGGCACGCTGGCGCTTGCCGGTGATTCTCACAGTCTGTGTCTTTGCGCTCCAGGAACGCCGGCGCTGGGTTTGGCCGTGTTCTGGTCGGCCGGCATCGTCTACATCCTGATGGACGTGACGCTGCGTCCGGAGACGCTGCGGCGCTACAAGATTCAGCCGGGCACCAACGAGCCAGTCGACACCTACCGCCTCCTGCAGGTTGGTGTCGGTGTAGAGGGTCGTACTTCTCTGTAGCTGAATTAGTTAACTTATTACTGTCGCTAAGTTATCGGCTATCTCGGCTTTTATGTGGCCTTGCTTAGGCATATTTATTCCACGGCGACGTCCGCCCGTAAATGTGGGTCAACAAGTGCTTTTTAGATGAGTAACAGTTGTTTCAAAATGTTATCTGTTGTCTGTCTGGAAAAAGTGTAAAGCAAGGCCGTATATGGGTTGTGAAGGATATTAATTCTTTCCAAATGAATGTGATTTGATTCATTGATTGCAGAAGTACAATGTTCAAACTTATGAACAAGACTGTAGAACTCTGTTCTAGAACATCACTCGTTCACAGCCTGCCAACTCCGATATTGATAACCTGCAAACGCTTGGTAAGGACCATGGTAATGGTTTTGAAAGGCCCGACATTTTCCATCTATTCAGCTATTCAAGCCATGCTTTTCATGTCAAGGCATTCAATCCAACGCTTTCAGGCCTTGTCACCGCCTCGGCATTCACCGTCTGTTCAGGGGTAAATACCAACTGACGACTGGCCGGCGGTATCTCGACAGGCGATCTTTTGGGTGCTGTTTAATCAGACCGTGGTGGGACTGCCCTGTATGCTGGTGTTCTACAAGCTGCTGGAGCTACGCGGGTTCGACACGGGCCGCGAGCTGCCCACCTTCCACTGGGTGCTGCTCGAGATCGCCGTCTGCCTGCTGGTCGAGGAGGTGGCCTTCTACTACAGCCACAGGTCAGTACTTCGTGCCACTGACCTGCCGTAGGTCAACAGTTTGTTCCGCTGACCGGTCACGGGTCAGGCGCTACTGAACGGCCACGAGTCAGCAGTTCATACAGTTAAATCGGTCACAGGTCAGCATAATGTACCGCTGACCGGTCACCGGTCAGCACAACGTGCCGCTGACTCGTCACAGGTGACCGGTTAAAGGTCACAGATCACAGGTGATCCCGTGACCGGTCACAAGTCAGCAGCCTGCACCATGCTGTCTTGATAAATGAAGAAAGATCAATGTTCAAGCATGACCTCTGAGAGATCACAATTCCTTTTTGTATCTGACTGTTAATGCTGGTAAAATACATTACACTGAAATGGTGCTGCTCGTCTCTCGCTCGCAGACTTCTCCACTCGCCGCGGCTGTACAAGAAGATCCACAAGTGGCACCACGAGTGGACGTCGCCCATCTCGATCACGGCGCTGTACGCGCACCCGCTGGAGCACGTGCTGTCCAACTACCTGCCGCCGTTCCTGGGCGTGCTGCTGCTGGGCAGCCACGTGGCCACTGCCTGGCTGTGGTTCAGCATGGCGCTGCTCTCGACCATCAACGCCCACTCGGGCTACCACCTGCCCTTCTTCCCCAGCCCGGAGGCGCACGACTTCCACCACCTCAAGTGAGTCGCGGCACGCGCACACGTAGCCGTGCAGAACAGAACACCGGGGTACCTCAAATGTGACCTCATGGTTTGTTACGAACTTATGTGTTAACTCTTAGCTGCAGCACACCAAAATACTCGTGAACTTCTCAGCTTTACGCATTACGCAAGTCATTCATTGAACAATGAACAAGTGCATCGAATGAGCTGCTTTTAGTGATAAACTTAGTCACATTAGTTTGCGTCATTATGACCCTGTGCCGTCGTTGTCGCCAGGTTTAACCAGTGTTACGGCGTGCTGGGGGTGCTGGACCGACTGCACGGCACGGACGACAAGTTCCGACGGCGGCCCGAGTACCAGCGCCACGTGATGCAGCTCAGCCTGGTGCCGCTGCGTCAGATGTACCCCGACCAGCAGAAGGGCGCCAAGGCGGAGTGACCGGCTGGGGCGCCCCCACCTCACTGACCCTCCCCCTCCCCTCCCGTCTCCCTCCGCTGGGTCAGTGCTCTCCGCTTTACGTAGGCTGCAGAGTCCCCGACCCGAGTCTCTGGTTACCAATGAACTAAGCGGGATGCAGGTTACTTTGTTCAAGTTGCATGTTGTTATATTTAGAGTATTTGTTTAACACAGATCCAGGATTTGATCTGCCTCCCAAAGTTATCCGCTAAGCCCAGGTCACAAGCTTTTCATTTCGTAATGCCTCTTCATATCACAATCATTACATAAGGCTGTGCTCAGCCCAGCCTTGGCCCAGTGATTCGCACTTCGCTGAACACGATTCATAAATGGTTACAAAATTTGTGTATTGGATTTCTCAACTCCGTGGCCAAAGGTTAAGCAGATGTTAGCCTTTTCAGCGTTGGCCTTCTACATCTTCAGTCCCTGCAAATTGTTGGGCTAGACTTATGGCGTCATTTGTCAAAAGAATTGGCACTTGCTCATCAGAACCAGCCCGGTCCTGCGAACCAGATTCAGTTCAGGTAAATCCCTCTCGCAGTAACTGCGTAAGCAAGACATAGTATCAACTCTATCCCCTCCCCAAGGCTTAGTGAATTCCCAGCAAATTTGCTGCTTCGTATTTCATGTCTAATATGTTTAAACGAAATGTGATGAGATTATTGTGTGACGTGTACGACAATCTGTACCGATTAAATTGCACTGCATACATGTTGCATGACGGCATCCAGTAGTGCACGTTGGTTTTGCGTTTCTCGGATCGTGTATAACAGTAACTCGTGAAGATAATGATAACAATAAACGCACCCAACGAATAGCACTTGTGCAGTAATGTTATGGAGGCGGCAGAGGTTCCGAACATCAACATTCGACACGCAATGGTGCATTCACATCATTCACGCGATGCACTGTGCCGTTTCGCAAATTCCGCTGGGGTGTTTCTATAAATGTGGTAAGGAGTTATTTCCCAGCAAGCACTGAAACACAAAAATGAGCGTCGGCATCAGCTATCTATTCCCAAGTGGGTGTCATGACAACACCAAGCAACGACCCTCTTTGTTTTAATCCTTTTAGGCCAATCCTTCACCGGTGCTGGCACATAGCACATATAAATCACAGCACGGTTTAATAGATGGCGCCTTTGGGTACACAAGCGAATGAATTGATGGACGTATGCCCGTGCTATTGCCTATTGCCTTCCAAGTGTATTGATCACAGAAAAGCAGGTTGGTCAATGGTCAGTAAGTCGAGGCTTTTGTAGCCTTAGTCAAGGCCTACACACTTCACGCATATGTTGCATTCTCAATCCTTATCCCCTTGCGATATCTACAAGAATAACGAAGCTAACACCAATCCTTCACGATAGTTTTACATCCGTAAGAAGTTACTTCAGAGAATATCACAGATTGGTCAAAAAGAAGGTGTAGAAAAGAGTTCTCTGTAGTGCGCGAGACGTAAAAAACTACGGTCAATTAACGCATATTCTAGCACCCGTTTCCACCGCTATTGGATATGTTCCTGGTACGTATCGTAATACTTGACAAGTATATGGATTTTGTGCGTTGCCCTATAAACAGAGCTCCAATGCTTTTGTTTCTTTCACGTCCCTTTGAGCTGCAGTGTTTACCCTCATTACCTTTTACAACAGGTTCGGTTGGGTCCGAGGTGCTATAGAGGTATGACCTTGGCTGCGCCCACGGTGGGCCGGCGTGGCTACTCGAGGTTTCGACGCGTCGGTCATGGGCCGCTGGTCTGTTTGTGCGGTATGTTGGCACGCCGTTGCACAATGCACGCGGCGCGCGCCGGGTACAATGCAGGGCGGACACGGGTGGGCGCCGGACAGCCTGACGTCATAGTTGTCCGGACAGCCGGCGGACACAGGCCGGACAGGGCAGACAAACGAACATGGCAACGGTTACACAGAAAGACTGCCGGCAATCGATGGTCGCTCAGTGGTGCTCACGGAGGCGGCAGCGGCGCCGCACCGTCCGATCAGCAGCCATGGTCTCCTCGGCAGCTCTGCTGATCGCCGCCGCCGCCCTCACCGTGGTCACCTGTGCCGGTAGGTTACACCATACCCGCGGGAGCCAGGGATGTCGGCTACTGGTTAGATGTCAGGTGGCAAATAAGTCAAATTTGAAGTGTTTAAATTTTACACAAATTGCTCCAAAATTTGTATTTTGATTTTGAATAACCTGACAATATACTCAAATGGTGCATGAAATAATGAGCCTGAGATGGCGTGATTCATAGGACGTCTAAATCACGGTCCCGGAGCAGGTTAACTCATCCACTCGAAAAGGGAGACAAGAATCAATGGGAGCTTACTAAACAGATTCTTCAGGTTCAAAAAAGTTCAGGATTTACAAATTCACATTAAGTAGTTCACGGTTCGATATCGATCTGAAAGTCCGTGAGGAAGCAGCTCGACCTTAGCATCCAACAAGGGCTTTGAGGCTTCATCACTGGTATGTTGTTTGATATCTCATTTCAAATCGGCGTATCTCCAACCTGTTCAGATATTTCGGTGCTCGTTGTGGTGTTTATCTTTGTGATTGCGGCTGGTTTGAGGGATAATGTATTATGCAATGGATAAGACTCCGGTGGATGCCAAGTTCAGCCGGTGTCGTCATTACAGGTCCGGTCGACGGTCAGTCCCCGCCGCATCTCTACGGATCGGTCCGGTCTCCGGCGGACGGGCCCGCAACAGACACCGAGCGGGCCGGCCGCCGAGTCCCGCGCGCCATCGACGACATCTACGAACTGGAGATATTCGAGTACGAGATCGAGACGTCCGAGTCGCCGGGAGTCAGCACACAGGTCACCACCGTCGGAGGAGCGGAGTCGACCACCGGGCCGGCGAGTCTGACCACCTCTGACTCACTGACGACTCCATCAGACACCCTGACGACCGCGTCAGACTCCCTGACGACATCCGACTCGCTGACCACTCCACCCGCCACGGTCAGGGCCACGCCGACCCAGACCCTGACCGCTACAGAGTCCGGTCACCTGGTCGATCAGTCCGACGGGAAATCGGCCGGCTTTGCGACAGGACCAGCCGCCATTGTGATGGCTACCGCCCTGCTAGCGCTTATCCTCGGCATAACGCATTAGCATAACGCCGCCAGCAAACCAGGGTATTTTTGATGGGCAACAAGCTTCAAGGTGTAGGCTAAGGAGGCAGAGGCTTTCCATGGTGGCCTCATTTATTGTTTCATTTTGATTTCATTCTCAGTCTCATGGACAATGCCCATTTTTGTTTTGTCCGGCTTTCAAGTGCCTCTCCGTTATATCTCTTCGTAAATAATATGGGTGGTTGAAGCATTGTGTCTGTTCCAGTCGCACTTCCTAACACCTCTAAACTCCTCCAAGGGCAAGATAGAGGAGGTTGGAGCAGGGCCCTCTTTGGCATTGTAGGGGTTAGAGATGCCACTGGAACAGGGAAGCAATCTTGGAGGAGTTTTTAGAGGTGTTAGGAAGTGCGACTGGAACAGACCCATTAAGTGCCTGTTTGTACGAAGAAATATTGGTAATAAATGAATCCTTCCCGTTGTATTTTCTCGGGGAATGAGGAAATAAGTAGTAACTTTGTCCGAGATGGTTTGCCATCTCTTTTACACAGTGTATCGCACGACTAATCCAAAAAGGTGTTAGTCTAGATGACGACATGGACACATGTGGAACTAATGGAAACATGTTCCCGTCAGTCCGAATTCCAATGCTGATTGACGAAAGTTTTCGAAATGGTTACTCTCCTTAAACGGAAGTGATAAAAATGTGGAGACTGACGAATGTCTTCGGGCAACGGCCAAGTTTTGACGAGAGTGCACTGCAGTCCCGGTATCAATAAAACGACACATTTTTCAGCACTGACGTGTATTGAAAACACGTCCGAATGATATTGGTCCGGCGATCACAATGTGACTTTTCACCAGCCGAACCACAGTGCAGCACAGCAGAAATGGTAGGTAGGCATCTTCAGATAAAAAGGTAAATGGTGTTCAGAGTCAGTGTGAAGCAAGGGCCGTTCCGGCATATAAACACAAGAAAAAATAACGAAACTTCCCCTATAAATGTTTGAGCTTCCCTTGGCAGCAGTCCAAGCACTCCATAACTTGCAAGTTGCTATAGTCAAAGCTAAGTGCACAAGCACATGAAACTGTACGAGTCACCCAAACAAATTGCCTCATAAGTCTTAAAACGTCCGGTGGTCACGACGAATTTTCACGGCAAATATAACAATGAAACATACTCTCTAATCTACCCAACAACAGCTATCATTCGTCAGGTATCCGACAGCGAAATGCTTTGTTTTGAGAGAAGCTCCCGATATCCCTGGGACTCAGATCAGAATTCAGCAGCTGATACTGGTGATGGCGATGGCTAACGCAAACCGTACAACGGGCCAGGCCAGCGGCTGATATCACCGTCTCAGAGGGTCGGGACAGCGGAAAACCTCATCCGTACTAGCGGGCCAGGGCAACGGGTATCTATCGCCGTTTTATCGGGACGGAACAGCGGATATTCCCATCCCAGCTCGTGTTACCGTACAGGCAGGCCAGGACAGCAGATGTCGCTATCTTTGCTCGACAAGGACAACAGATATTCCCACCCCAGCTGTGGATTGATTACCGTGAGCGGGCCGGAACAGCCGGGCTGTGTCCGTCTCTCACATCTCCCGCTGCGGTGGTGGGTGGAAGCGCCGGTTGAACTCTGCCTCTGAGAGGTGCAGCATCCGACAGCCGCTCGTAACGTGCTCCTGGAAACGGACACGGGCCAAGTCAGATGACGACCGGAACTCCAAATACACAGACCAATTAAAACTAGCGGCACGTAACTTCAATAACATTCACGTCTTTTATGTACTAGCTTATATCTTCCATACGAGGCCAGCTCAATTAAATGTTGAATTACACCAGCAATTATTTTGAGCTTGAAATATTGCATTGCCTTCATTGTAAAACCGATATGGTTTGTTTTCGCGCACATTTGCCCAAAACAGAGCGAGACGGGAAAGGTAAGGTCAGCACGGTAAAACACCACATGAGTAGCTCCCGCCGCACGGCTTACCCGGATGTCTCGGAATTTGACCGACACGCCGATGGGCATTTCGCGGCACAGTTCACACTGCCACTCGGACGTACGGTTACCGTTGGCGAGGCGCGGGTCGTTCTGAAACGAGCGGCATATGGAGACGGTGAGGTGAGCCGCGTCACACATCACAAACTAGCGGTCAGCAGAGGAGCAGAGAACACGGTCCGCCGATCGAGATGCCCTTCAGAAAATAAAGCACAAGAACAAAAATGAACGATTTTTTTGCAGTAGCTCTTTTTTAATGAAAAATTTAAAGAAAACTGGTCCCTGGGGCGTTCCACGACAAATCGACAAGTGCCCTGCACCCTCATATTTTATTTTTTGCTTAAAATTGGTCTAATGGGTTGTGATGGGCGGGGAAGCCAGCTGTGACAAGGATTTTTTTCTTCGAACAACAGTTTCCGAGATATAGCCTCGGGCAATTCCTGGAGGTCGCGCTGCAGCCCTATGTTTGGCGGCCTATAACTAAAAAACTATTGGTTTTCTACGATAAAAACTTTATATGGTTCAACTCACAATCAGCCAACAAACATTTTGGCCATCTCAGATTTTCAATTTTTGAAAATTTTGATCACGTGACCTTTTGACCTATTTTTCGAAGAGTGACCTTGATATTTTCCCCACTGAAAATTGCAATTTTGTCTGATGACGATTAAAGCCTTATCAATTGTCATTCATATGCGAAAATAAAAAAGTGGATATCGCCCTGCGTTGACCTCAGGTCAGGTCATTTTTATGACCTGTCCATTATTACGAGCGGGAGCGACAGCGAGATCTCGAGAATAAAGCAAGATAGCGACAAGCGGTAAACGGTGCAGGGTACACACGGATAAAGTCTATAATTTTTACTGAGGTCATTTTCAGGTCAGGTCAAAGATGACGTCACTGGAGCAATAAAAGGAAGTCAAAATTGCGGCACTACATATATATGAAGATTTCTCGAATCTTTCAAGTTATCCCAGCTAGGAACAAACTAATATCACCATCGTGATCCTCTCGTCGATCCGCATCGAAACATATGTATGTTGACCTCGAAAGGTCGAAAGGTCAAAAGTTGACCTTAGGTCACGTGACCTAAGGTCAACTTTTGACCTTTCGACCTTTCGAGGTCAACATACATATGTTTCGATGCGGATCGACGAGAGAATCACGATGGTGCTATTAGTTTGTTCCTAGCTGGGATAACTTGAAAGTTATTCGAGAAAAACTTCATATATATGTAGTGCCGCAATTTTACTTCCTTTTTGCTCCTGTGACGTCATCTTTGACCTGACCTAAAAATGACCTCAGTAAAAATTATAGACCTTATCCGTGTGTACCCTGCACCGTTTACCGCTTGTCGCTATCTTGCTTTATTCTCGACATCTCGCTGTCGCTCCCGCTCGTCACGTGACCTATGGTCAACTTTTGACCTTTTGACCTTTCGAGGTCAACATACACATGTTTCGATGCGGATCGACGAGAGGATCACGATGGTGCTATTGGTTTGTTCCTAGCTGGGATACCTTGAAAGTTATTCGAGAAAAACTTCATATATATGTAGTGCCGCAATTTTGACTTCCTTTTTGCTCCTGTGACCTCATCTTTGACTTGACCTGAAAATGACCTCAGTAAAAATTATAGACCTTATCCGTTTGTACCCTGCAACGTTTACCGCTTGTCTCTATCTTGCTTTATTCTCGAGATCTCGCTGTCGCTCCCGCTCGTAATAATGGACAGGTCATAAAATGACCTGACCTGAGGTCAACGCAGGGTGATATCCACTTTTTTTATTTTCGCATATGAATGACAATTGATAAGGCTTTAATCGTCATCAGACAAAATTGCATCTTTCAGTGGGGAAAATATCAAGGTCACTCTTCGAAAAATAGGTCAAAAGGTCACGTGATCAAAATTTTCAAAAATTGAAAATCAGAGATAGCCAAAATGTTTGCTGGCTGATTGTGAGTTGAACCATATAAAGTTTTTATCGTAGAAAACCGATGGTTTCTGAGTTATAGGCCGCCAAACATAGGGCTGCAGCGCGACCTCCAGGAATTGCCCGAGGCTATATCTCAGAAACCGTTGTTCGGAGAAAAAAATCCTTGCCACAGCTGGCTTCCCCGCCCATCACAACCCCTTACACCAGTTTTCAACGAAAAATAAAATATGAGGGTGCAAATTTAATCTTTTATTTGTCGATTTGTCGTGGAACGCCCCCCCCCTTTGATCAACACAAATCACAGAAAAAAAAACGAGCAAAAACTAACATAATGTAGTGACAAACATCAAAACTTATGCCTTGGAGCGTTTCACAGCGAAGGTTCACGCCGTAGCGACTGACCTCTCCCGGCAGGAGCAGCTCGTCGTCCATGTTGTGCGTCAGCACGTGGTTCCGGTACGCGTGCGGCGTGGCGTGGCGGGTCCGGCACAGCGGACACGTCAGCTTCCGCTGCATGTGGTGCTGCTTGCTCAGGTGGGCCTTCAGCTCAGTCGAGTAGCCCACGGTAAGGCCGCAAAAGCCGCACGTGTTTGCCAGGCCGGCGTGCACGTGGTTCAGCACGAGCGCGCGCTCCACGTGCTCCTGACACTGCCGGCAGAAGTGGTGTTCGACGAACTCGCTCTGGTGGTCGGCGCGCAGCTGCTCGGCCTGCTGGAGCAGCGACTGCAGCAGCGGCTGGCCGATGCCGGCCTGTCGACAGGCGGCCGTGTCCAGCGGCGCCGGCGACACGGCCGCCGCCTCCTGGCGCAGCCGGTCGAACAGCTCCTGGTACTGCGGCAGCCGCAGCACCTCGTACGACAGCGCCGAGTTGTCCAGCTGGTAGAGCTGGCTGCGGCCCGGCTCCGGCTCGCCGCCGCCGCCGCCGTAGCTGGCTGCCTCGCTCAGCAGACGCTCCACCAGCTCGTCGGGCAGGTCTTCCAGGGTGAGTCGGCCGATCGCCTCCAGACGCTGCTCCAGGGTGGCGCCGGCCGGCGGCTCGGGCGGCGGCGCGCGCGGACCGCCGGCCGGCCGGCGCCGCTCCAGACCGGCCTCGCGCTCCAGGGAGAACACGTGCAGCTCGTCCAGACCGCACCGCTGCCGACGGACGGTCACCGGTCAGCAATGGTCAGCAACAGTCAGCAACGGTCAGCAAAAACCTGGGTGTCATGGTCCATGAACCTATTACAATGTCGATGGACACTGCCAATGGGTAAAAACCACATGAGCCACTACTTACATGTGTGTCCTCTTTTAAAAAGGACTCAAGTATGCCACAAAGAAAAAGTTGAACAAAGCAAAAAAAGTCCAAGTATAACCATTGGACATTGACTATTAGGTACATCAGTACTATCCAAAAATCATGAAAATAAGGCTAAATGATGAGCATTCTGCTCATCATTCAGCCAGAATACATAAGAGCACTACAATTTGTCACAGGATTCATTTCAGAGACACAAAAAACAGTCCAGAAAATCACCAAGGGTCTTACCTTAGCCACTTCAATGACACATCTGCCATGGCGACTTTCTGCTGGCGTCCTCTGGTCACAGAGCAGCAGCTGATGATGACTAAGCAGTGAGACAGTGCCCAGTGTTAGGCCACAGCGGGGACATGTGTGCCTGCCAATCAGAGTTGATGACAAATTAATACCACTGGTCAAGTGTAACAAGTTGTTCTACAGCAGGAGCAGGATAATGGAAAAATGCAGTTTTCAATGTTCACAATTGCTTGAGACTCAAAAAAGCTGCCAAACAACAGAAGGTTCTGAAATCAGCTAAGATATTTTAAAACAGGCTCAACTAGCACTAAACCACAAAACCAAAGGCAACCTTCAACATCTAGTATCATTCATTGAACTGATAAGTTATCACTATAGCACAGTGCCACTCTGACTCAGTGACTGTTTTTAGCAGAATGCTACCAGTAAGGAATACTCAGGATGCATTTTTAGACTTCTCATTGGTAAATAAACATGAGAACTGTGCTGGTCAGCTAAAGAATGTCAAAATCAAGGCCATATAACCAAAATAGCTACATATACCTATGACAAATCCATACTACATAGGAAATACAGTTACTAAAAATTATCACTGAACAGACCAATCTTGTGGGCAAAATCAAAATACCCATTATCATTATTGAGACCACTCACTACAAACTTGACCTGAATCCTTTCACTGGCTTATACAACGTACAGAGTAAAAATGTAGCAGGTAGCCAGTTTTAATAGAAATTATTGCGAAAAAATGCATAAATCAATTCGGTATTAGTATATATTAGGTCCGAGTGGACAATTGTGACGCTGTTGATACAAATATGTAACAGCAAAAAATGTAGGTTTTAGGTTAGGTTAGGTTGTAGGTTTGTAGGTTTTAGGTTTTAGGTTGGTAGGTTTGTAGGTTAGGTTAGGTTAGGTTGTAGGTTTGTAGGTTGTAGGTTTGTAGGTTGTAGGTTGGTAGGTTGTTGGTAAATAGGTAAGGTTAGGTCAGGTTTGATTATGTTTTTCTTTTATTTCCATTTGATTCCTTCCTTGACCCTTGCCCCGGGTGGACGTGTTTTGGAGAGCTCTGGGTTTGCGTGACATTTTTCAAGCTGAAGCTTCAAGTTTTTGAAAGTGGATTCAAGACTGCTTAAGAAATAATATTTCTGGTTTAAGAATATTAGAAGACAGACAACATCTCTAAAATTTGGTAAATCATATTGAGCCTTTCAAATTAACCGTAAGGTGCGCGCATGAATCGGCGCGCAGCCATGCCAAGTAGTGGCAAGCCATTACTGTCTCAAGAGCGCCAAAAACAGAGAAGTGGATCTGAAGGAAGTCCAGTGATGATGCCAAGGCAGCATAACAAAAGGAATTTGAAATCGAAACCAAAGCTGGGGACAGGTAACGTCAAGGCCGGTAACGTGGCCAACACCCCACCTGCTGCCCCTGGAGCCGAGGTAAGCCAAAATGCTGACTCTGATGCCAGCCAGGGTGTTGTAAACTGTGATGCCACCATAGTTCAGGGAGAGAAGGATGGGGTAGGGAGCAAGAAGTTAGACCCCAAGGCGATCGCAGCTGGGGAGCCATCGATTTTTGATGATACCTCAGAGAGCGAATCTGAATCTGAGGGCACATCGCTCAATGTTCAGCCAAGTAAATTACGCAAGAAGCTCGGAGATGTACACAAGCTTGCAGATGAAGTTTACAGACCATTTGGTCCTCGTTCTAGGGCAGGGAGCACTGCTGACAGTGATGCTTCTTTCTGCAAGGGGGGCCCTACCAAGGAGTGTGGGGCAGTGGTAGGTGACAGTGAGGAAGCCCTTCAGTGTGACAGGTGTGACCAGTGGTTTCACTGCGCTTGCCAGGGGGTACCATCAGCCACATACAGAGTTGCTGGTTTGCACAAGGCCCTGTCTTGGCTGTGCTCATACTGTAAACCATTAATCCGCAGCCCCTCCAGTTGCTGCAAAACTGTGAAGGAGAAACTGAGGGAACTCGAGACAGCCATCCAAACGCAGCTGGATACGCTGATGAACGTACAGGAGTCTCACACAGAGAGACTGATCCAGGTAGCCAAGGAACACTCCGAAACACTTGAGAAAACACTGCAGCTCCATATGCAGGCACTGAAACAAACAAGCACCAAACAGGTCCAGATCCTGACGGAGCAGACCAACCTGAACAAAGCCATAGTGAGCAATCACAAGCTGCTAACCAAGGAACAAGAAAAACAGAAAGCTACATATGCAGACATTGTCAAAAGTCAGTGCCAGGAAGTCAAGAGGTCGCTTGAAATTACAATGGAGAAGCTCCCAAGCAGCTCTAAGCACAGTGGGCCCTCAGGGGCAACCAAGGAGGTTGCCAGCTTCCTGGATGCATTCATGGACAAGGAGAGGCGCAAGTGCAATATTGTGGTGCACAACCTCAGAGAGGCCGAGGGGGACACTCATGATGACAGGATGGCAGCTGACAGGGCTAGACTGGTAGCTTTGTTTAGGGAAACTCTCAGGCTGAAGGTCAGTATCACTAACTCATTCAGGGCTGGCAAATTCAACCCAGACAGGCCCAGACTTCTTATTGCCACTGTGGACTCTGAAACGACCAAGTGGGAGATCATCAAGCTGGCGCCACAGCTGAGAAATAACCCAGGATTCTCAAACATCTATGTAAACCCAGACAGAACAAAGGAAGAAAGGGAGCAAGGGAAAAAACTGCGGCAGGAGCTGGCCACCAGGAGAGCAAATGGTGAAGAAAACCTGGTGATTAGAAGGGGAAAGATCATCCCACTCGCTGGCCACCCTGCAGGTGCCACCCCTAGCCAGGGTCCGGTGGGCCCCGGGTCTCCTCTGCCGGCGGACGTTGGAAACCGGCGCGAGCTGGCGGACGGCGGTGCTGAAAACCGGCATGTACCGGCGGACAACGGTGCTGAAAACCGGCGTGTGCCGGCGGGCGGCGGTGCCGGGAGCCGGCGTGTGCCGGCGGGCGGCGGTGCTGGAAACCGGCGTGTGCCGTCGGAGAGCGATGCTGGAAACCGGCGTGTGCCGGCGGGCAGCGGTGCTGGCGGCCGGCGTGTGCCGTCGGAGAGCGAAGCTGGCAGCCGGCGTGTGCCGGCGGACAGCGATGATGGCGGCCGGCGTGTGCCGGCGGGCGGCGGCGCTGGGGACCGGCCTGTGCCGGCGGACGGCGGCGCTGGGGACCGGCGTGTGCTAGCTGACGGCGAAACCGCTGCCACCGACGGCGATCGGCAAACGCAACGGATATGACAATCACGTGGGAAACGAGCACTGTCGATCCTGTACACCAACGCCGACCAGTATTTAAACAAGCGTGATGATCTTTGTGCGCGGATAGCTGGGACGGAGCCTGACATCATGCTCATCGCAGAAGTTTTACCCAAAGTCCAGGTCTCCGCGGTGTCTGCTGTACGCCTTGCCATTCCTGGTTACAAAGTTTATTTAAGTTTCATTCCTGATGTTCTATGTTTAAGTACTGAAAGGCCCCGTGGCATCTGCATTTATGTTCGCGACTCCTTGCCCTGTTCCGAAGTTAAGTTTCTTGCCAGTCCTTTCCGCGAACAACTGTGGGTGAACATCCGTCTGGCAGGCAGCGACATTCTGTTGATTGGGTGCATATATAGGAGCCCATCCAGCCCACTGGAATCAACCAGCCAGCTGAGCCATCTGTTGGATCTCGTCGCCGCCTCAAGACCTTCACACCTGCTGATTACCGGCGACTTCAACGCTCCCGACATCGACTGGGCGGCTGAGGTATCAAGGGCACCAACTGGGCATTGGTCGCACGAGCTTCTAGAACTCTTTAGGGACCACTACCTCACTCAACACGTGCTGTCCCCAACGAGATACCGCCCCGGACAGACGCCGCACGTCCTGGACCTCGTGCTGACCAACGAGGAAGGCATGGTCCTCGACCTCCGCAGCCATCCGCCACTCGGCAGTAGCGACCACGTCGTCCTGACGTTCACCCTGCGGTGTTACGCTGAAGACGAGCAAGTGGCTACACTGAAACCGGCACTCCACCGCGGCGACTATGGGGCGATGGTCCAAATGGCGCGAGAGGCGACCTGGCCTGTCTCTGATGGCTGCACCGTTGACCAACACTACCGAGCGTTTCAAGAAGTCCTGGACGGCATCTGCGAGCGAGGCATCCCTAGGCAGCACCCAGGTGGCAGGAAGCGAAACCTGTACATGACGCGCGAGGCCCTGACGCTGCAGAACCGTAAGAAGAGAATGTGGAAGAGATACCTACTAACCCAAGATACCCTGGACTACTGCCGATTCTCTCGAACCAGGAACCAGTTGAAGGGACTGGTTAGACGTCTCCGCAGGAATTTTGAGCGGCAACTGGTGGAGAACCTGCCGGAAAACCCGAAGGCATTTTGGCGTTATGTGCACTCCCGCCTGACCACCAGAACAAGAGTGGACGACCTCGTGACTGAGAATGGGGATATGGCGTGCACGGACGCAGCTAAAGCCAGAGCTCTGGCGGAAGCTTACAGCAGTGTGTACTGCTGGGATGAAGACCCGGCTGACGTTCCAGCTATGAATCCCCAGTATGGAGGCCCAACGTTGGAGGAGCTGCGGGTGACGCCGGGGCAAGTGGAGGGCAAACTCCGCGACCTACGTCCGGCAGCATCACCAGGCCCTGACGCAGTCCATCCTAGGGTGTTGCGCGAGCTGGCTGCCCCCCTGTGTGGTCCCTTGACAGACCTCTTCAACCACTCCTTGGCAGACGGAAGAGTCCCAAGAGATTGGAAGCTAGGTCAAGTTGTCCCCATTTATAAAAAGGGACCTCGTAGCGATCCTTCCAATTACCGTCCCGTCAGCCTGACGTCCGTGACGGCGAAGGTGTTGGAGTCGCTCGTGCGTGACGCCCTGTTCGAGCACATGACACTGACAGGCCAGCTAACTGAATGCCAGCACGGGTTCCGCCCGGGGCGCTCCTGCGCAACGCAGCTTCTCAGCACACTCGAGGAGTGGACTTGGCTGATGGAGGAGGGCGAGCCGGTTGACGTCGCCTACTTGGACTTCCGACGCGCCTTCGATTCGGTGCCTCACCTGCGTCTTCTCCAGAAGCTCCACGACATGGGCGTTAGGGGACGCCTCCTCGAGTGGCTGCGCTCTTTCCTGACAGAGAGAAAGCAAAGGGTCACTGTCAACGGCAGCTTCTCGGACTGGGTCGCAGTCGGCAGCGGTATCCCGCAGGGCACAGTTTTGGGACCAGTGCTCTTCATCGCTTTTGTCAACGACCTACCTGGCTGCGTAGAGAGCGCATGCAAGCTCTTCGCTGATGATACGAAGGTGTACGTCGGAGCGGGCACCGAGATCGGCCGCAGAAGGCTCCAGCAGGATTTGGACGCCCTGGCGGCCTGGTCTCGGAAGTGGAAGCTGCCGTTTAACCCATCCAAGTGCACAATGCTTCACCTGGGCAGCCAAAACGTGCGGGCGAAGTACACGATCGAAGGCGCTGCATTGAAGACTGTCGACACGGAAAGAGACTTGGGAGTCCAGATGGACAGACTGCTTAAATTCAGGGAGCAAGCGGCGACCGCCATTGGCAAAGCCAACAGAACCCTCGGCCTGATCAAGCACAGCTTCGTCCACATCGACTCCAAGACACTTCCTCTGCTGTATAAGACAATGGTTCGCCCGCACCTAGAGTACTGCAATCAAGTATGGGGCCCGTTCAACACGACCGACGTGAGGCTGGTGGAGCGGGTTCAGCGACGGGCTACGCGCCTTGTCCCTGGACTTCGGCATCTGCCTTACGAAGAACGACTGAAGAGTCTTAAACTTCCCTCCCTCCAGTACCGCCGTCGACGCGGAGATATGATCACGATGTTCAACATCATGCACGGACGCTCCGGCCTGGACAAGGACGACTTCTTCTCGCCCGCCCCAAGTACACGCACCCGCGGCCACCGACTCAAGGTGGCCAAGAAGCCAGCGGTCAGCCGCGTCCGGCGCAACCACTTCGCCACCCGGGTTGTGTCGGACTGGAACGCCCTACCAGAAGAAGTTGTCTGCTCGCCATCGACAAATGTGTTCAAGAACCGGCTGGACAAGCACTGGATGAACTATGCCTTCATCGCTCCACAATAGATAAGACTGTTAATGCTACCCGAGCTCTCTACGACGGATCCACCGGGCAATCCTAGTGCCTTCAATGATCCCCAAATATCAGGTATCAGGTATCAGGTATTTCCAGGACATACAAGTATCATTTTTGGATTCAGGATGTCAAATTCTCTCAACTGGTTCTCTCACCTGGTAGGGTTCTCCTTGCCTAGCAGCCATAAGGATATGGTAGTAGACATGATGGGAACCCATGATCAAAGGACACGCCAGTTCACCAACAAACATTGCCCGTCGTCTGTCGCTGTGGTTTAACTGGATTTGATGTGTCCACTGGTAACATGTCTGTGTAGAACAATCACTGATTTCCTGATAATAAATGCTTTGCTTTTGCTTTTAACAAATAATGTAAGAATATGAAAACTTTATCTTTTAACAGTCACTCGGACTTAATGTATACTTTTACCATCAATTCCATCAATAATGTACGGCAATTACAATAGCTCACCCTTCAGAGGATTTCTGCACCACTGAAAGTATTTCAATCTCATCCTTTGATGACATGAAGAAGCCTTGAAATTATATTGAATAATCAAGGCATGCAGCCAATATTTTACCGCAATAATACAATTTTAGAAATAAATAAAATTACAAACAATGGGTAAAAATGTAAATGCACAGCCCAACACCTGTTCAGAAAACTCTGCTGACACTGCTCAATTTCTGCTGCCAAAACGTTGGACTTATCAGCCGACTAGCGAATTAGACAACTAAAAATTAGAAATAACCACGTCTTCATAGCTTTTTGCGGGTCTTTTCTGAGTCATAATTTCGGTACGGTGCCCTTCCAAGCGTTGAATGAAATCATTTTGCAAATTGCGAAGCGCCATTGTCTTGCAACATTCGCAGCATTCCGGGCAAAGAACACGAACATAGCGGAGTCCGATTTTTATTCCCGCGCGAAATTACAAACAGGGCAAAACTGGCCGTGCATATATCTTCACCGCTCATTCAATGATTCCAAGGCTAAACCAGTATAACGCCTTTTGGGGCGACTAACGGAGCGAGCATTAGGGTGGACCTTGCACGTGCGAAATTGCGAGGGGGTACTGTTCTATCGTGGTTCTGTCCTCGCCTCGCGTGTGTCGGCCGTGCGACTCCTGGGCAGAGAGCGGTACGGAATGGCACACTTCTGTATTAGTCCGACACACCCGGCACGGGACTCCCCCGTGCCGGCTCCCCGTCCAGACACATGCCCACGCGGCCAGGGCTCAGCGGCGACTCCCACACTTCCGGCCGCCGCGCCTGCCCACGCATGCGCGTCTCCGGCCGCCGCACCGGCCTAGCCACGGGCGGTCCCAGCCGCGGTCGGAGGGGGGACGGCTCAGGATACCACACCTCACCCCCCTTTACATAAACACAAATGACACTCACGTGGAGAACCAATGAAACGAAAACTGCTCACACAGAAAACAACTTCTTCCCGCCGCACAAACTCAATCGAGCGAGACCACTGCGCGCCGAACAGTGCCCATCAGCATAAAAAACTACACACCGCCACACAGACACTTCCGACTGCGAGCACCACCTCTGCGCGTCGAGCGGCGCGGAGTGCCCCGCTGCGCGCGGCGCCGTGGGCTGCCAGCCCGACCGGTCGGTCCGGCCTCCGCCTCCGACGCTAGTCCGTTGAGGTCTGGCTCACCAGCACTGGCTCCTCCGCCGCCCGCAGGCGCTCCGGTTCCGGCTCCTCCGTCTCCCGCCAGCTCGCCTCTGCAGTCCACTGTCGGCCCGATGGCTCCTGCTCCTCCGTCGTCCGTCAGCCTCCGGCTCGCCTCCACCGCCGTCCGCCCGCTCGGACAGTCCGACTCTCCCGTCGTCTGACGGCTCACCTCTGCCTCCGTCTGCTGACTCGTCGGCACCGGCTCCTCCGTCGTCCGCCGGCCCGTCTCCTCTGTCGGCTCCTCGGTCTCCGCCGCCGTCTGCCGACTCGACAGCTCAGTCTCCTCTGTCGTCTGACGGCTCGCCACTGTCGACGTCCGCCGACTCGGCCGCTCCGGCCCCTCAGTCTTCCACCGGCTCGTCTCTTCTGCCGTCTGCCGACTCGACAGTGTCCGGTCTTCCGTCTGCCGGCTCCCCGGATCCACCTCAGTCCGCCGGCTCCATTGGTCCGCCTCCGTCCGCCGGCTCCGCTGGTCCGTCTCCATCCGCCGGCTCCATTGGTCCGCCTCCGTCTGCCGGCTCCCCGGACCTGTCTCGGCCCACCGGCTCCACGGAACCACCTCCGCCCGCGTTCTCCCCGGATCCGCCTCGGCCCGTCGGCTCCCCCGATCCGCTGCCGTCCGCCGGCTCCCCGGATCCGCTGCGGTCCGCCGGCTCCACGGATTCACCTCCGTCCACCGGCTTCCCGGGTCCGTCGCCGCCCGCCGGCTCCACGGATTCACCTCCGTCCGCCGTCTTCCCAGCTTCGCCTCCTCACGGCCTTCGCCGGCCGGAGCGGTGCTGCCTGGCGCCACCAACTGGAGCTGGTCACAGTGGCGCGACCACAGACTGCCTCTGTCGGCATCCACCTCGTACGAGTCGGGTCCGGTCCGCGTCATAACCCGGCCGCGGACCCACTTCTGTGGCCCTCCGTAGCACCAGACCCACACTTCCGCACCGACTCCGAACGTTCTCCCTCTGTTGCCGGTTGCCGTCCATTGCCGCTCCGTGCTGCCTCGGAGTGCTGCGTAGTGGCGTCGAGCGCCACCGCGGTCCCGACGGGCTCGCCTCCCGGCGCCGCCGCCGTCACGACGCACTCCGCTCACTCCGCTCCCGGCGCCTCCGCAGCCGCAAACGACTGGACTCCCGGCGCCGCCGACTCCTTCGTGGTGACCAGCGCGACCTCCGATCCTGAGGTCACCCGCGCGGCCTCTGGCTCCCTCAGAGCCCCGACGCCTGCCATCGCCGCGGCACCTGGCACCTCCGCCAGCGCACCGGCGCCCAGCGGCCTCCCGGCGCCCGCCAACGTCTCGGCACCCCTTGCTCTCGCCGCCGTACCGGCGCCCGCCGGCTTCGCCAGCGCACCGGCGTCCACCAGCGTCTCGGCGCTCACCAGCGCTCCGACGCGCACCAGCGTCCCGACGCCCGCTGTCATCCCGTCGTCCACCAGCATCCCGGCGCCCGCTGTCATCCTGTCGTCCACCAGCATCCCGGCGTCCACCAGCGTCCCGACATGCACCAGCATCCCGGCGCCCGCTGTCGTCCCGACGTCCACCAGCATCCCGGCGCCCGCTGTCGTCCCGGCGTCCCTTGCTCCCGCCGGTGTCCCGGCGTCCGATTCCTCCACCGGCGTCTCGCAGCGCCAGCGGCACCGGGCGCGCCCGCCGGTACATCAGCTTGGCGTCCGACTTACGCCGCAGTACCCTCTTGATCGGGATGCGCCCCAGCTCCTCGTTGAAGACAGTTGAGTGTCTCTCCGGCACGCCTTCGAACGTCCGCGCCGGCTGCACGCGGCATACCCGAGCCGATGACGTCATCAGACCAAGCGCCTGCAGCCACTCGCGTCCCATCAGCGAGCGGTGGGGTCCCAGCCCGGTCACCACCAGCCGCAGACGGGTCGCGGGTCTGCCCGACGCCGTGACACTGACAGCACCTCCCCTCTCAAGGGAATGACCTGACCTGTGAACGAGGTCAGGCGCAGGTCACATGGGTCCAGCAGCTGCAGAAGTCCCAGCTGCCGCGCTGTCTCCGCGCTCACCAGCGACACCGGGCTCCCCGTGTCCACGACCATGGCCAGCTGCTGGCCGTTCACCGTCACCGTCTTCATTTCCGGCTCCGCGGCGCTGGCTTCGACTGTGTTCACCAGCCACGCGTCGCCGTCGACTGAGCTCACCAGCCACGCGTCGCCGTCGCCGTCCGTCTGTTCGTCCTCCGCAGCCACCAGCCTCACCCGCCGCTGCGGACACGCCGCCTTCAGGTGCCCGGTGGAGCCGCACTTGAAGCATCGCCGCTGCCTGGGTCCTCCATCGCTGCCGCTGTTGCCCGGCGCGCCCCGGCCGTGTTCTCCGGCCGCTCCGCTGCGTCCGCCGCTAGCCGCCTGGCCAGCCGGACAGCGGCTGTCACGGGCGCGCGGCACAGCTCCCGCAGCAGGACAGTCTCGTTGCCAGTGCCCCGCAGCGCCGCACCGGAAACAGGTTCCGAGCCGTGACTGGGGCGACCTCACGGCATTGACGGCTCCCTCAGCGTCTGCTGCCGGTGCCTCGGCCAAACGCGTGCCGCCCAGCTGAGCACCGAGCTGCTCCATGTCCCGGTGCGCGCGTGCCGTCTGCCGTACCTCGGCCAGGGTCAAACCGTCGCCCTTCGAGGCGGCCAGCTTTACCAGCTTGGCCCGCAGACCGGCTCGGCTCCCCAGTACGCACCGATCGCGCAGCTCCCGGTCCACTTCAGTGGCTGCATAGCCGCAGCGCACGACCTGCGCTCGCAGACGGCCCAGGAACCTCTCCAGGTCCTCTTCCGGCTCCATTTGCATCCCGTGGAACAGAGAGCGCTCTGCCACCGCGTTCCTGACCGGAGACAGGTAGGTCGTCAGCTTCCTCTTGAGCCGCTCGAAGCTGTCGGCCGTCTCGCTCGTCTCCTCCGGCAGAGTCTCGCTGAGGTCGGCAACATCCGGCCCGACCAGGTGCAACAGCACCGCACACTTCCGGTCGGCCTCCTGGATCCCGACCGCACACAGGTAACGCTCGACACCGCGCAACCACCGGCCGAAATCGTCGCCCTGCCGAAACGGCTCCACCGCCGGAATCGACAGTCCCGTGCTGTTCATCCTGATCCCGGGCTGAGCTGCCTGCCCCGATCACAACACCCCGACCGCCGCCGCGAACTCCGGCCGTCGTCGCTATCCCGGCCTTCTCGACGCACCCGGCCGTCACTGCACTCCGCTCCTCTCCCGGCCGTCACTCCTCACTCTTCTCCTCTCCCCCACCGCCCGGCCGCCGGTCCCTGGCGCCGCCGCTGTCGTGTTTCCCGCGCTTTCTCCGGCGGGGGAGTCACGTGACCGTGACGCCACAATCACGTCACCGAGCGGAGAGTCCCGACCAATCACCGCGCGCCGTGACAGTCTTACGTCACCACCGGCCGGCCCAATCACAGCGCAGCCCGCCGACGCCAGCCACCGCGTCGACCAGGGTATATTGAGTGAAGCGTCGACCGCGCAACATGGCCGCTGCCAAAATCCGGCGAAAACAAGCACGTGTGTCACCACCGAGCAACGGGCAAACCGAAAACATGCAGCAGCGAAAAAAAAAACTAAGCACTAAGCAATTAGCAATTCGCTCCGCCTCTCACCGTTCGTCCTCCGTGCCCATCCGCTCTCGCCCGCCACCGCGCACTAAACACTCGCGAGACATCTCATCCTCGTCGCCAGGTTGTTCTATCGTGGTTCTGTCCTCGCCTCGCGTGTCGGCCGTGCGACTCCTGGGCAGAGAGCGGTACGGAATGGCACACTTCTGTATTAGTCCGACACACCCGGCACGGGACTCCCCCGTGCCGGCTCCCCGTCCAGACACATGCCCACGCGGCCAGGGCTCAGCGGCGACTCCCACACTTCCGGCCGCCGCGCCTGCCCACGCATGCGCGTCTCCGGCCGCCGCACCGGCCTAGCCACGGGCGGTCCCAGCCGCGGTCGGAGGGGGGACGGCTCAGGATACCACAGGTACCTCCAACTGACTTGTGCATGGCACCCTACTAACCGGTCTCTAGCGATGTGCCAAATTTGGGCACCATCGGCCCAGCCGTTCTCGAGATCTGGAAGCGGCACCCTGCACGTGCGCACGTGCAAAATGGGTCCCAACTGACTTGTGCACGGCACCCTACTAACCGGTCCCTAACTGTGTACCAAATTTGAGGGTAATTGGTCGAGCCGTTCTCGAGATCTGGAAACGACCCCTGCACGTGCGCACGTGCAGCAGCGCCCCAACTCTGGCACATGGATATGCAGTGCCTAGTGGGTGCCTACCTACATGCCAACTTTCAGCGCAATCGGCCAAGTAGTTACCGAGATATTGCAACAATTACAAAACGGACACCCCTTCGTTTTGCACGTGGCACGTGCATAAGGGGTCACCCACATGCATCAGGAATGGTCCAATACTTGGTAGAAGGAATGAAACTACCCTACAAAAATTACCGCGTGTAAATCGGTCAAGTGGTTGCTGAGATATAAGCCTCGCAAAAGCGTGACCACGGCCGGCCGGCCGGCCGGCCGCTCATACTCAGAAATTTCCGTTAATCTAAGGAAAGACTACGCTCGCTTCGCTCGCTCCGTAATAACCAATGGTCCGCTATATGCATTACGCGCGAGCTGATGGATGCTAATCAGAGGTAATTACCATAGCCATGAAAATGAAAATATACCTACTAGCAACAGAAAATACTCATCACTCATTCCAGAACCTCACCTCAGACACTGAAATAAATGTTGTTCGCAAGCGGATTAATCGCGAGGGCACTTTGTGAGCATCGTTTCGCCAGGATTATAGCATATTTCATTTGACTTCATTCCTTTGATTCAAGGCATATGGCACACCTCATGAACATACATTCGACGCATCTACGTAAAACGGCCCACACTGGAGTTAATCCATTTTAATCCAAATGCAACAACGCAGCCGCCCCAATGCCAAGTGCATTACCCGGCAATAACAGTCTAATCGGAGAACGTTTATAAGTTTAAATGCCTGTGAATAACTTTATTATCGGTCCCGGCCCCTCTTAGGTTATCTTCAATCTTCCCCTTCAACGCCAGGAGGTACCGGCATAGGGCTTGCCAGCGCCAGTAGTCAAGTTGAACGACGATTTCTTTCAGATCCGGCAATCAGTCAATCATATGATTGACTGATTGACGGATCTGTAAGAAATAATATTATCTATATAGATAATATTATCTACATGGGGATACAATGCTATGCACCGCTTAGACGGGTAAAGCTGGATTAATTATAGCCACTTATACCGTAACCAAAAAGCAAAACGCGCAGTTCCTTCGAATCTTTCGAAAAATAAGCAATATTCTGTCATTGAATAAAAAATGCTCAACTAAAAGAAGAGGAGGCGCCATGCCTTTAGCAGTAACTATAAACAAGAGCACATTTCTTTATTATAAAACAAGCAAACAGTTCAGACACATATCACATCGCCTCCAGAACACCATCAAGAAACGCAAAATTGTTCACAGAGTCAGCGGCAGATTCGATATCACGCTTCTGCACAGTTTTTCTTTTCCCATGTGACAAACAGGTACCAGCATGCTTGACAAGAGCCTCGATGAACATTTCCTGAAATAGACAAAGCAAATTTGTAAATAAAATTGCTCCATACCTTTTAAGTCATTTTTCTAACACTCTCGACCATAGGCGCGGGAACCGGCGGAGGGGGGCAGAGCGGTGACAGCTTGCCCCCCTCCCCCCCCCCAACTCTGGGGCCGTGGGGGCGGTGCCTCCACAACGTTGTGACGGAATATCGCACTTTTTTTTGCAAATCTTTCCTTTTTTGTTGAAAAAGCCAGATAACAGGAATGTGACGCTAAATTATGGAATAGTACGTAACGGCATGTTATAAACTACGTTATACGTACCGTGGCTTTTGAAACCAAGAAGACAGCCTCTTGATTTGCCATAGTGACATCCGGATCAAACTTCATGATTTTCTTTATCTTGGATATGGGCAGAGCGGTCGCCGACCTCGTGGGTGCGTCGGTCGGTTCAGACTGGAAGAGGTCTGTGCCGGAGTCGGGCAGTGCCTCGGAGCCGTATTCGGCGCCGACGTCCTCCGCGCTCCAGACCTCCTCGGTGGGTTCCGCCGCACCTGCGACTCCTGCTCCTTGTGGGGACGTGGCGCTTGGAGATGACTCGACCGGGGCCGGGTCATCCATAGTGCACTCCTCTCTGTCCGCCATGACACTGACGTTTGCTTCCTAAAACAAACCCAGTATCACGGGTGCTGCATGAGCTGCCGCTAAAACTCCGGGTGATACTCCTGATGGTGACAGAAGTATGTTGTTTTACAACAAATGCTGAAAAATAAAAATGAAGGGAGTCACCAAATAGCAACAATCATGTTAAGCTATTTTGGATAAAAATATTAATTTTCTCACACATGGAAGTTAGTTGCTTGCATTTCTCATACTCTGTTTGTCAACCACACACATGCACGCACACACCACTGACAACACATGAATGTCCCCCAATAAAAAAGAATAGATGTGCCAGCAATTTGGTGACATGCTGATAAAAATGGTGAGCAGAGTACCATGGCAATGGCAGATTACCAAGTATATAAACAATTTGTTGTCTATTTCATTGTTAAAATGCATAACTTTTCACTGCTTAAATTTTAATTTGAGATGGCAGAATCAAAGGGCTCAATTCACCCAGCCCTTCTTTCCAGTTTCCAGTCAACTGCTAATTGTTATATGATAAGTCCCGTGTAGGCCATAGTAGTCATTAGAATACCTGTATCATCCAGTTTGAGTGTTCACGATCTAGCCTGTGTGAATGATATATGAACAATTTCTGAGGAAAGAACTTCAAGAAACAGTGCATTTTGAATTTTTGTTAGATTGAGCTGCAGGTTCATAGAATAAATACAATTTTTATGTCCAATGTTATTTCATATATACTATTTCAGCTCTAGCAGTTGCCAGTGTTCACAAGGTGACATAAAACAGTGGAATCTAAAAACAAGGTGTGTGGGGTGATTTGATCAATGCTCTTGAAATTCGCTTGCACATATCACGTGACAATTGGCCTGTGGAAGGCAGAGGGAGGGGGAGAATTTCTATGCAGTCATGTGCCTTAATATGCCCTCTGACACCCTGTGTTTAGATTCCACAATCCACCCATAAAACTCAGCCTGAAAAGAATTGCGTAGATCAGGTGGCATTATCAGCACAGCAAAGTGCTAATGACTTCACCCGACTTCACCTGGTGGCTGGTTCTTTGTGGCCTTGCACCAGTGATGTCAAATGTACATGCTGATAAATCTTATAGCCTTCAATCCTCCGTAATTAGGTGAACATCAGCATGCTAATCTCAAGGCCGTATAAGAGGCTAACCTGACCTGGCCCACTTCGGCCTTCGCAGGATCAAAATTTTACATCTTACAAGAATGATAAAATCTAAGCAATTTTTAATTTATAAACCATCTGTTTTATCCAAATCCACTATCTGAGCCAACATCTCAACCAGGGCTGCGGAGTCGATGGATTTTCGGCGACTCCGACTCCGGCTTTCAAAAACCAGCTCCGACTCCGACTCCGACTCCGGGCAGAATTGTCGACTCCGACCGACTCCAACTCCTGACTCCGACTCCGCAGACCTAGCAGGGCTGCGGAGTCGACAGATTTTCGGTGACTCCGACTCCGGCTCGGGTTTCTAAAATCGACTCCGACTCCGACTCCGGTCACAACTGTCGACTCCGACCGACTCCGACTCCGACTCCGACTCCGACTCCGCAGCCCTGATCTCAACCTTAGGGATAAACTCAGCTGCATAATGCACAATGCATACGTGCGGCCAATGCTTCTAAAACAAGGCAAATCCAAATTGAAGTCACTGACCAAGGAATTTGGATAAATCTTCAACTTCTGAGACCCATTAAAACAAAATGCGTGCAAAACCGCCATAAGTAACATCAAAATACCATTAACAATACCTCAAATTCGAAAGAATCCCAAAAAAATATGCGATCCATTCGACTTCGAATGGAATAACGCGTGATCCTGTTCAGTTTGATCAAAGTGGATACTCTCCTCTCTAGTGTCCATGGCAACCAGCTGAAAGCTGAAAGCAAAGCAGCAATCAAAGAAGGCACTTTAGAGCACTTTTCTGATAAATTATGTATTTTAAAAACAGAATATTAACAAAACGGAGTCTTTTCACGATAAAAAGCCTATGACTCTTCTAAAACGCTTTAAAACGTTTTACATGACGTCAAATATCGAAGTCTGTAAGCAGTAAAAGCTTTGCTATCGAACGTAATGTTGCGCTGCCAGCTGCTTTCCCGCCAACGTGAGCCACAATAATCGCATGCGAAATTACAAACAAACTCACACTGACACCGTTTGCAGCTCCATAAGAAAAGCACTGTGAATAAACATTGTGGGAAATAGGTGGGCAAGTCCCAATCGATTTCACATTCCTCTATGGTTGGTTGGATGCCAGTTTGCCGAAGTGACCCTACTTCCAGTGGGATAAGATGGGAAAGAAATGCTGCTTGTGGAAATGCTGCTAACGAGGGTAGTAATCAGTTCTGAGGGCACTGCAGTCTAAGCCTATCGAAAGGTAATACATTTATAAATGAAAGGTAGACAAAACCACAAGCGAAAGTTAGACAAACAGACATCGACCGTCACCGGTCACCGTTTCACTCTCTTGAACGTCTTATCGATTCACCGCTTAAAAAGGAAAAAACGCACGACAACGAACCACATCAAATCAGTCCCACGCACAAGGGGGAAAAGCTAAAAAAATTGAGCGCTCAAAAAATTGAGCGGGCCCCATTATGAAGGAATAGGCGAAACGATGGTATTTTACAATGCCTTTAGCGTCACACTACGGCAACTATCGTATCAAAATAAGGTATCAATGGCAAGAGGGAGCAACAAGGCTTCTTCTCGAACACTCGCCGTGATAATTTATATCGGTGTTTTTGGAAAGAAAAAGCCCTAAAGACGCTCAACTTTTTGAGCGCCACTTGTCGTTCGGGACCGCGATACTCAATAAATTGAGCGCCACGACAGACGACAGTCAGCTGGCGCTAAAAAAATTGAGTGCCGGCCAGCATCTACACTCAATTTTTTGAGCGTTCTCCGTGACAGGTGAAGCCGGTACTGGCTGCCATTCTTGATGTTATGTTCGTTGAAATACGTTAAACTGAGTTGAAACAGAAATGCAGGAAGTTGAATGCTACGTGGTACCCAAACTTTTCACAAACCCATGGCATCATGTCACATTTTCCGCTAGTAGTTTTTCCGGTCGCCTTTCGGATTCGGCACACCTCAAATAATTATACAGGGCTTGATATGAATACTGTATTGATATTCTCTGACTGTACTGGGAGAAGGGAATACGTGAATACAGAAAGATATCCACCCACGCTTGAATATTGGAGAATTATAGCAAGAAAAACTGTATTGCCACAGTTACAACTTACAAGGCCATCGGCCGCAAACAAACAAAAATACTATACAATGTGGGTTAGATTCACAAACATCATCAAGCGTGGAACACAGAGACGAGCAAAACAACATCACATTATCGCATGCCACCCCGACCACATTGGAACCGGGTGACCTGCGACCGGAACCTGCGTCTTGCCAGCATACATCACAAAAGCAGGAGGCAGTGTCGTACTGCTTTGATCCAAAATATGCCATATAACAAATGATATAAACGACCTAAGCTCGGACTAAGCTAATCATTATCAAATCCTTAACATGTAAAGGACGAATGGAAACATCGAGTCTCAGACCAGCAGTAGCAACCCTATCACATCACAAAGAACACGCGGCATTATCAGACAGCCGTTTTGTTATCGGGCTACAGGCGGCGACGGCGTGGTTGCAGACCAGCTGCGAGGTAGCGGCGTGCGGGCAAAAGGCGCGGGCACACCTCCATGTGGCCGTGCAGACAGTGCGCGGTCGGCGTCGCATAGTGGGCGGCATCGGGCTGTCCCGGGGCCGTCGAAGCCGCACAGGTTGTCGGCGCATGTGGGCGCGCGCGGTCACCACGGCCAGCTGCTCACCGCCAGCACAGACTGCGCAGCGTCGCCGCTCCGCCGGCCAGAACACGCAGACAACCCTTCTTGCAGTCGCACAACACGTTGCCAAACTCATTCACCTGCTCCACCATGTTGTTGATGTCACCGAGTCGTTCAAGTTGTGGCTCGTGCCGTCGAGCATGACCTGCCCGATCGGACACGGGTCAGCAGCTTCTGCTCCAGCGAAGTCTTCATCTTGGTGACGTCTTGCTGATCTCCACAAAGGCTGAGCAGATGACCTTACCCACAGGGACGGCCGACGTCCTCGCCAGCGACCGCTTGGTTGTGCAGACCTGCCAGAAAAAGAAAAGCTGTTTGGTGATCTCAAACGATTTTTTTTTCTTTATGCAGTGGAACAAAATGGAAAATATGCCATACAACAGGAACTAAAAAAAGATGCAGCCTAGGTCGTCTAAGAAATGGGTGCAACATTGATAAAATTCTTCATTGAATGAATTCTGCAAATGCTTTTGATAAAATGTGTGGTGATTATAAGGAGACCACTTTACTATAAAATTGCTCAGGATTCCCTACCTGGACGTGTCAAAAAAATCCTGACTGCACACCAACAATGAGCATCAAATCCGAAACCTCTACCAGGTACCTAGGGATAATTAAATTCTGATTCAGGAAAATATTTCACATCATACAAATAAAAACCTTTACTATATTGAAACTGAAAATGTGATGCCGATTCAGTGACCTAAGGGTCTCAAAGTATAATGATGAATTAATCTATTATAAATTTGGTGGTGACTGCCGACTGGCGTCTGGCGGCCTAGACCTTGAGGCTTGAAAGTGGCCTTCCTTTTCCGTTGACTCTGATCCTCCAGATGGAAATGATATAAAGGATCATTTTTATCTTATTTCATATGAGCCAGTCAGCAAAGTGGCTATCCTGTTTCAGCATTCACACACGCAATAGTTGACCGTCAGTCTGTCATGCTGTCAGTGTTGTGAAGTAACGAAGGAGTTGAGTTTTGTTGATTATAAATTGTGATGTTATGTAAAGGACTGGAAAATGAATGTGAAAACTGTGGAAACATATTGGCAGAGTATTGTCACTTACTATCAGGACATATGGATACAGAATACATTCAAATTAATAAGAAATGCCAAATATCAAGGTACTCAATCACTGATAGCAGTGGACTATCATATGTTTTAATGTCAATTATATGAAAGTTAAGACTGAAACTACCTTTTACCTCATCATACCTAATGAAAAAATGTGTGAAGAAAACATCCACAGCCTCTTTGAAGCACTTAGACCACTAAAAAACAAAAAAATTCACGTAAATATGGTGTGTCTCCTTCCTTCAAAACATCATATCGGATGGCGCCACTTTCGTCGACAGTTACTTATCTGCACGTAAATCGAGGAAAACGTGAATTGATTGACGTTTACGTGTTTCCAAATTTAAAACCACAGCATATTCAAACTTTTGAAAGTACCTTTTAACATCTAAGTATAACTAAAACGATAAAAACTTACCTTCAACACAAGGACGACGACAACCACGCGACCGGAGACGTCGCGACGAAATAAACAAACGGCGCCGCCAAATGAAAAATATTCTCCGATATGGGTAATGTGAAATTGAGTCGCAATCATTTTGGGTAGTATGAAAAATGCTCTTTCCAACAGAACCCTAGTAAAAAACGTGAATGGACAAAAAATAACTTTAATTTCGACATAAATATTGGCCAGTTTTTAAGTCATCCTGGTATGCCGTAAGATTTCGACCTATAAATTGGTGTTCCCCCAATCATTGAAGCTTGAGCAGTGAAAAATATGAAAGCCTAATCTGTTTTGCATCATTAGTGATTCTCCTAGGGTGTTGCCATTTCTCCCTAGGTGTTGCGAGTTGCTTTTGCAAAAAGTGTTCCTGAAACGGCTCAATTTTTTGAGCCCTCAGCATTACGCCTATGGGAGCCTCTGACGTCACACGCTCAATATTTTGAGCGCTCAATTTTTTTAGCTTTTCCCCCTTGTGCGTGGGACTGAAATGTATCTATGCTGACTGTCTGCACAACTCACTAACCTCAACAGGCCCACCGACTGACCCCACTGACCCCACTGACTGTCTCCCATACAGTCTCCAACCGACCCCACTGACCGTCTCCCCCTGACCGTCTCCCCCTCACCGTCTCCCACTGACCGTCTCCCACTGACCGTCTCCCACTGACCGTCTCCCACTGACCGTCTCCCACTGACCGTCTCCCACTGACCGTCTCCCACTGGCCCCGCTGACCGCATCCCACTGACCGTCTCCCACTGACCGTCTGCCACTGACCCTACTGACCGTCTCCCACTGACCGTCTCCCACTGACCGTCTCCCACTGACCGTCTCCCACTGACCGTCTCCCACTGACCGTCCCCCACTGACCCCACTGACCGTCTCCCACATGGACCCAACCGACCGTCCTCCGCAATCACACTTATGTACGGTTTTATCGATCAGCATTATTTGTACAATTTCACTTTTCACGGAACACAACACCGCATGTCGCCCTCCCCTCCTCCGTCCCTCCCCACCTGTCATTTTATGCAGTGTCGGCCGTTCTACATTTCCCACACAGGTGTTGGCGTGTGTCAGCAAGATGAAAGCACTCCGAGAAGGCCCAATGCGACGGAGGTGTCAGGTGTCGGCACCCCGAGCGTCGCCACCTGCCGTCGGTACCGTCGGCGTCGTCGCGTCAGCACCGTCGGCGTTATTCGAGACCCAGACGACGGGCGGCTGCCCTGGGGACCGGCGACGTGTGCCCTAGGGCCGTGAACCGCACCACGTGCAGATTCTTCATACCTGGTGGAGCCAAAAAGAGACGGCTCTTGGCTGCCTTGCGTGGAGCGAGATTCAACAAGTGACAGCCTATCCGGAAAGGTGCGTTTCAGGTTTTCATAAATGCAGATAATCCCGTTATATTAGAAAGCCGTTTTTGCTACGTTCTTAACTTTTCCAGTCTTGTTATCTTGTAATTACGATTACTTGCCATAAAGGACACAGAACGGATATTTTTTAATGTAATGGCGGGATGGTGCTCTTCTTGAATAAACTAAAGATGTAAGACGTTTCGCCATTCATCAGGTATTTAAACGGGTGAAAGGCGATTGATAAATATATCTCAACGAGACTGATATTCTTTCAATGATGATTGGTAGGCATTTCTTTTTAAGGACTTAGTCTCTTAATGACAATCTGATTATCGCTTTCGTTCGGCAGAATCGACACCAGTCAGCATGGCCCTGGTGCAACATGCCGTCCAACCAAGAAGAGGAATGACATATTTCATCTTTCTAGTTGTTCTTTTAGTACCGTCGATATTGTACATGTGCCGACCAACTTTTGATACGAGACATTTTATTTTATCCCAAATGCAGCACAGGCATCTCAGTGACCATAGTGAAAACACCTTTATAAGTGAAAGTTCATCACCAAGAAATAAGACGATATTGCTTTGGACGACATTTTACGGCAGTCCCGATCCGTGGGAGCTGCTGTTTTATGACACGGTGTCGGGCGGCTGTCCGGTGTCGGGCTGCACTCTGACCCACGACCGGGAGCAGCTGGACTCCGCGGACGCCGTGCTGTTCCACCTGCTGGACATCCAGCTGGAGGATCTGCCGCGGCGGCGGCCGGCCGGCCAGCTGTGGGTGCTGTTCTGTCTCGAGTCGCCCGGTTACCCGCTGGTGCGCCGGCGCCGCCTGGCCCGGCTGAACGGCCTGTTCAACTGGACCATGACGTACCGCTGGGACAGCGACGTGGCCGTGCCGTACGGCCTCGTCCTGCCGCCCGGCCGGCTGCCCCGGGCCGTCAGTGCCGTGCTGCCCCGGCGGCCCGCGCTCGCCCGCTACCCTCCGCCGACCACCAAACGCCGACTGATGACCTGGATGGTCAGCAACTGTCGCACGCCCGGCAAACGGGAACGCTATGTCGCCCAGCTGCGCCGGCATATTCAGGTGAGTGGCCCTAAATAGCCGGCTTGTGTGAGAAGTAGGCAACCTTGAATACCGGCCGTAGGATTGATAGACGAGCATGGCCAATTCGGTACGTTTAAACGCCGTTTCAAATTCGAAATAATTATGGGATATTCTTATAACCGAAGCAGTGTCGAAGCATATAACCGTTTATAGAGAACGGGTTTCTCTAGAACAGATTATATTCAGCTTTATAAAGAGCGATTTACCTATTTTTACTTTTTTAATGTATATTTTTACGGACTTTTCTACCTATATGATGCTTCCCACATCAAAGCAGGTTCAAAGAATGGATATGATGGAGGTCGCTCTCGCTAGTACATATACCTAAGCACCAGCCCTCCGTAAACGGATGGACCGCGAGAGTCGCTCTCATTCAATTGTCGCCAACATAATCAGGTGAACGGCGCTTCTTGAGGTGAACGTTTACGGGCGGACTATATCTTCTGGCTATCGTTCGTCTCCACCTGTGTCACTACAGCGCATATTCGCTATTCAGGTGACGGAGGACGTATCATAGATACGAGCAAACTATAAAAGAGTATAACTCGCCTTACTCAATATCCCGTGTCGCCAACGGGGCATCAGCTTAGGGCAAACACATGCGAGCAAACCACAGCACCCGCTGACCTCCCGTGTCGCCGGCATGTCCCCAGGTGGACATATACGGCAGCTGCGGGACGCTCAAGTGCGGCCGCTCCGAGTCGGTTCAGCAGCAGCGCAATCACACCAACTTCCCCTGTGAAAAGGCCATCACCGACTACAAGTTTTACCTGGCGTTCGAGAACACCCTCTGTCCAGACTATGTTACGGAAAAGTTCTTTCGAACCCTCGCTCTAGGTGAGCTTTAGAACAAAGCTACGATATAACTATGTTTGCGGAGTGATCTTAGAACGTCTATATGCAATAATATACATAGTTATGTACCCATTTAAGCCAGTCGGGTGGCTAAAACAAGACTGACTGATGGGTGTCGGTCCTTGTATTTCGTCTGCAGGAACGGTGCCGGTGGTTTTCGGTGGAGCACAGTACTCCTCACTGGCCCCAGAGGGCAGTTACATCGACGCGCTACAGTACGAGCCTCGGGAGCTGGCCGAGCTTCTACTCTACCTGGACAGAAACGACACCGCCTACCGGGAGCTGTTCCGATGGCAGGCTGACCACCGGGTGGTCAACGCACACCCGCTGCGGCCGCTCACGTGCGGCCTGTGCCGGCGGCTGCACGAGCTCCCGGCCGGCACACAGGTGGGCGTTCGACACGACCTGCACCGCTGGTACTCCGCTAAACAGTGTCACCAGTGGCGCCCCAGAGGCTGAGGTTCACACGGGACACGGTAGGATGGAAGCGAGGGAAGTGTTTGGGATACGTCGCTGAGGCTGATGACTGGGGCCAATACAAACATTTTGTAGTCATTTCCCCGGAAAGATACACTGAGCTCTTTCTTCGAACCCATCGGTCGATTATCGTATGACATATTGCTGTTTTTAATTTCACTTATCGGTGCCTTTTCTAATGCAAAGCTCCTCATCCCGTCGACGTAATTCGAATCAAAGAATATCTCGGACAAAGAAAAAACAGAAACGAAACAACCGTAACAAACGGCAACGCCAATTCGATGATTGCCGATGAATGCCAGTTAGTGAATGCCATTTCCTGTGTATTTGAGTCACATCAGTTGATTTTTACATTGAACGGCTGCGTGTTCATCGACGGATGACAATTTCACTGTCAACAAACGAAGTCGCGAGCGATGCACACACGTGGTGGGGCGTCTAGCTGCCTGCCGGAGGCTCGGGCACTGCAGCTGGTCTGACCGTACCGCCGGATATCGCGACACGGCTAATCCCCGGAAAACACACGCACAACACAGATCCCGCTGACACCACGGCTCACCGCAACATCTGCATTCCGGCAACCGACTGACCCGACCACTGGTCCCATAGTTTATATTTCTTTGGACATCTCACCCTCGGGCCGTCGTCGGCAGCGACCTGGCTCAGGAAACAACTGCTCGGGGCGCTCTTTACGGTTCGCCGCGGACCACCGCCCTCCCAGTCCACTCACTTGGTGATAAATATGAGCGCTACCGCTAGAATCACGCCCAGGACGATTACGGAAAGGGAAATGAGCATCACCTTCTTGAATCCACCACACTTCACCGGTTCTTTTCGCTGCGGCGGCGGCTCGGACGGCGGCACCAGGGACGCCTTGCGCGTGTCGCGGACGGGCAGCTCGCGCGCCGCGCCGTTCTCTGCTCGCACGATCGGCCGCGGTCTCATCATGGGAGGCATGAGGCCGGGAGGCATCATGGGTCTGCCGAGCGCCGAGCCGGGCGGCGCCGGCCGGCCCTTCCGGTCGACCGTCATAGTGGTGAGCGGCGCGTCGGGAGCGTACGCCGAGTGCGGCGTGCCCACGCGCAGCTCGTACAGGCTGGCGGCGCGCGGCGGCGGCGGCAGCGACATGGGACCGACGGCCATCGGCGGCGGCGGCGGGCCGTGGTGGTGCACCGGACAGGGCTCCCCGTCCCAGGTGATGCCAGCGCCCGGCGGCCCCAGCAGTAGCGGCACAGACTGCGCCGAACGGATGGTGGGCGGGCCACCACCGCCGGCCAGCGGCACCAGCTGCACGGCCGGGCCCCTGTCAGACAATACGAACACGTCGTCAGCAGCAGTCACATAAATACCGCTACTAAATACCGCTCTCAAGTACCGTTGGTCGCAAGTTGCAGCCGCCAATTGCCTCAGGGAATCGCGTTGAAAGGCGATGTCGCGGAGTATAGAAGGGAAAGGACGGAAAATTTTTAGGCCGGCGACCGACCCTAATCGCACCTAACAGCGGCGCCTCCCCACCTGTTTGTGTCCATTTAGGCCCACGCCGACCCTCACGTCCGTCAGATCCGCCCCAGGCGGACCCCGAGGGGAGGTCCGAGGCGGGCATGGTAGGGACCGGCGACGATTAACAGCGAACCGTCTCACGTGCGTACGGGACAAAAACAAACTTCCCACACCGGCCGAATGGCGCCAGCGTCGCGCGACCAGCTTTGCCTTTGGCGCAGACACGGCCACCTTGAGACTGACTTTTCACTTGTTGGAATGAATTGCAAAGCCTCCAACATATTAAATTAAACACCGGCTTTAAATAAGAGTGGGTGCGTTTTGAAAAGTGCCAGTTACATTTTAATGTTATCACCGCGCGTAACATTGGTCAACAGCATGTCAACTAATGCTGTAACCCGTCATCTTCCACGCCTGCCGTCCCGACTCACCGGTGTCGGTCGTGAATGGTGACCTTTGTGTCGCTGGAGCACTCGGAGGAGGCCGAGGTGGAGGCGTCCGTCTCCTGGGGCGGCGGCCGGCCCCGGTAGGCCACCGGCGCCGCCTGGCGCGGTGGCCGCTCCGTGTGTGACGTCTGGTCAGAGACAGAGCCCGGGCCGCGGCGGCTCGCAGACTCTGCCGATGGCGCAGGATGCCGCAGGTCAGTTGGCCCGGGTCAATGGTAGAATGAATGAACTAATGTGTGAATCATGCGGTTGAAGCTGAGTCTCGATATAAAAGTAACGGCAGCCGATGACGATTAACAGTTTAGGCTACATATCTCATTCATTATTGGCTCTGAGTGACAGTTCCACAGGGTTAAAACTCTCTAAGCTGAGCTTGTCGTGGATAAGAAACTCCTGTTGGCTGTTACATGGTTTAAGTGAAAATCGAAGGATTAACCGTGACCAAAATCCCGGACGGTATGCGGTACTCGAAAATCGCGAGAGCTGTTGAAACTGGGAGGTCTAACCGGCAAGGACAAGCTGAGTCGTCTGTACTCACCGGACCGGTGCCGGTCGCTGTAGCTCTGGTGCTGGTGGTAGTTCATGTCCCGGTGCTGCCAGGCGATGGGTGTGCGCGCATCCTCGGAGGTAGCCGCCTGGGAGCCGGCCCGCCGGCCCCCGCCCCGATAGTTGGACATCCAGCCGCGGCTGCAACCATGACGAACGTAGTATTGAGCACAGAGAACACCACCGGCGGAAGCTACATCCAATCCAATACGAAGAGCATGCTGAGCATATCACTCATCATGTCAATATTTATTGCGTGTTTATGTTTGGTTAAGGCCGATAACCGGAATAGCTGGAATGACATGAGTGGCTGAGCCCAATCAAACTTCTTATTTGCTTCCCTAGCGCTGCATGTGCATAATCCAGTTAAGTATACATAGTATTGTATCTAGATGCTGTCATTCGAAACACAAGTTATCCCACATCACGGAGCCGGGCGCCACCGCTGCTGCGCTGCAGTCTCCATCAGCTGACCGCGGCCACAGGTTAGCTGCTTGTGCCCCGTCGCAGTCTCCCAACTCAACGCGCGGCGACCGGTCGCAAACGGGCTGCCGCATTAACGCGAGGCTACATGAGGCTTCAAGGGCTGGGGAGGGGGGAGGGGGGAGTCATCATGCCGACGTCACAGGTGTAGATACAGCGATGCCAAGAGATAAAGTGGCTCCCTACAATGGGGCCTCGATGACCGATGTCAGCGAATCTTTCCGCCATTATGCACAGACGGAATGAGATCGTTTCGTAGCTTTTCACCTACACAAGCTGTATTGAGGCTGTTGTGCTGCTGGTCCATGGTCGGTAGCACACAAAAATACCTGTAATTACGCATACACCACATAGGAACTTAATGGTGGTCGTTGGACACACTGGGTCAGCTGAATTCGACACTAAAATCGGAGACGGTTTAGCCGGTAACAAGTTCACACATCGACCTCGGACTGTAGCCTGTCCCTCAGTCAGCTAGCCTCCCTGGCTTCCACACTCCTTCCCAATGGAAGGTTAGTTCACTGATAGCGGCCGATCCCCGAGAACCCCGGGTCTGACCCGAACACCGGAATGTGGCCATGGGCCATGTCATGTCGGTGATGAATCGGCTTTGAGATGGCGCTCCGGCTGCGCACAGCTATTTCGTGCCACGCCATTTCAGACGTGTAAGCCAACAGATCTGTAGGCACCGTTTTAGATGAGCCGAAGAAAGAGGACACTAACATTATTTCCGCATCCACCGAATCGCTTCATAAGTTCGATTTCGGCAATGCTTATGCGAGAGATGTCGCCAGTCGACAATGCAACGGGATCGGACATCAACATTGGCATCGATATCGGAGGGCGGCACTTTCACACAATGCGGAGACTGACACACGATGATGAGGTACCTATAAAAGGACGGATTCCCAAAAGTCTGGAAATCCCATCTCGCCGCTCGCACTATTGTCCAATTCCATGGATGCCGGAGACCGTCTGTTGGTCCTCGACAGCTCATTCATTAAATTCACGTCTAGTGCGAGGCTGACCCTGCCTGGCACCGTCTCTCCACTACCGAGACCGGTTGCCTTGATGCCGCGCCCCCCATGGGCTGGCTTCCCGGGCCGTGCCGTGAGTTGTCCTCTCGGACTGTAGCCTGTCCCTCCGTCGGCTAGCCTCTCTGGCTTCCGTGCCCCTACCCATCTTAGGTTGACCCCTAGGGCTGCTTTGTAGCTCAGTGGGATGATCTCTTGAGCTGCCCTGCCCCTCCCTCGGCTGGTCTCTCGGGCTGCTGTGCTGTGATGCACCCTCCGCGGGACAACCTTTTGGGCTGCTGTGCTGTAGCGATGTGGCTGTGGGCTGACCTATCATGCTTTATTTGTTTGTTTTGTTTTGTTGGGTTAGGCCCTTTCGGTCGACAAGACCATTGCAGAGCCGGAAGGATGATAGGAATTAGGGGGAGACATTGGTCTGGGCAGGCACCCTAGTGAGTCGCCGGGGCTGAGCCCGTCCAAGGACAGGCCACCCAGCCCCAAGGCACTCACTGCACCCGGCTACGGGGTGCGCTCCCTCAGGAGCAGCGGTGCCGCTCCAAGGGAGCAGCCCGCATGAGATAAAGTTGCCTGTCCAGCCCGGAGGAGGGTTGCGACGTGGAGGAGAAGGATTTCAGTATCCTGAGGATAGAAGCACGGATAGGTGTGATCATGCTTTACCGGGTCCCTCCACGGGATGACCTCTTGAGTTGTCCATGCCTCTCCGTGGGCTTAACAACTCTCTGTTGTGCAGTACGTTGGGCTGACCTCTCGAGCTGCACCCCGCCTCTCTGTCGGCTGCGCCCTGCCTCCCCGCGGGCTGCACCCTGCCCCTCAGTGGGCTGCACCCTGCCCTCCGCGGCTGACGGCCACTCCCGGCGGCCGGCCGGGCTCGACACGGTCAGCGGGCGGCGTTTGACCGCGGAACGGCCCACCAGCGGCGGCCGAGTTTAATGACCTCGGCGCCGGCCAGTCTGTCACGGCTGGTGGCATCTCCGCCACGTCCGGCGTGATAAAAACACACACACGCATACACATAAACCATATGCAAACACCTGCGTGAAAGCACTGGACAAAGTATACGAATCTACAATCTGTGATGACAAAAGTTTTGCTCACCTGTCGGTTCAGCAGGCAGTGACTGACGTGTCGTGCAGGTACCGTTTGAAGACACGATATTCACTCACTCTGGTCCGCACAGCCGCCGTCCAGTGACGTGGCGTCTGTCCGACACTGAGCACAGCTCCTCCACGACCCTCGGCGCGGCCCCAGCTGCCGTTCCGCGGCCGGCCCCCTCCCAGTGACGCGTCTTCTCACCGCGGAATGAGCAGCGCCGCGCGGCTGCAGCGCTCCGGTCAGCGGTGCTTCTCGGACGCGTCTGACGGCGAGTCTCGGCCGCGCCTGACGCCGCTCCTGGCGCCGCCGCTGCGGCTCAGTTCAATAACACGCAGCCAGGGTATGAGGTATGGCGGCGCTGCCTCCCGCGCACCGGCCCGCCGCGCTCGCCCGCTCATCAAAACAGCCCCGTCTCGGCCGGCCGCGCGGTCATGGAGCGAGGCAGGAATGCGATAAGGGAAAGGGTCCGACAATCAGCAAACCCAGCTCATTAATGTGCTTTTGCGAACATTTTCTGGCGTCATATTTCCGATGAATTCATTTTTAAATTATCCGAGAAAGATGAGCGAAATGATATGCAATATTCTACTGTGACCTTTCTCCTACAAAAGGGATTGATGAAAATTACATTTTGCTCGAAATGTCATTTTCATCTAGCCTACAAGTTTTTCCATTTCAATCAATTTCGATCTCGATTATCATAAAATAACCGAAATGACTTTTCAAAATCCGTCCACGCTAGGGGAAGTTGGGGCAATGCCGGAGTTGGGGCAAAGCCGAAATTCGAGATATTTCGAAAACCGTAAGACATGGATGCCACCTGTCAGTGATACTCTGAAGCTTAACCCGCGCACCGACGGGGGGGGGGGGCGGATATCCGCTCCCCTGAGGTTTTTCGCGGATAGCGGGAAAACCGCGGCGCGTAGCGCCGCGAAATTTGGTATGACTATAACCTCATCAATTTTACACATGGTGTGCAAGTTTCAACCTCGTAACTTTTAAGGTCAGGTCACCAGGTCACTTTGAATGACCCAACCTCAAGTCACTTTTTTGCAACTTTGTCACCGTGCCAGAGCTACAGTAGATGTCGGAGGCCTTTGAAAGTCGCAGGATGTTATTAGGTCATTAGTAGCTACAATTTGTATATCTCGGAATTTTGATGTCGGTGACCTAAGGTCAGGTCAATTTCGCGACCTCCCCATTATAAGTCAACGGGGGAAAAATCAACTCCCTGTTTTTACCACTAAAACGGGTCGGAATGGCCCCATATACCATACATGACTTCACATACGATCAACCTTCACTACCTTGAGGTCTGTTTTGCTGTTGGGCAGCTGTAAGGTCATGTGACGTCATCAAAGGTCACCAAAGGTTTTTTTGCCAATAACTCCTTACAGGAACAAGATACAGCCGCGCGGATGGTCTCATTGTGTTCAGCTCGTCAAGACGCATCGAATGATATACATGATGACCTCGAGGTCACGTGACCTGAGGTCAACCTTTGACCTTGACCTTTCGAGGTCAACATATATATCATTCGATGCGGATTGACGAGAGGATCACGATGATGCCCTTAGTTTGTTCCTATCTTGACTACTTCGAAAGTTATTCGAGAAAAACCTTCTCCATATCTAGCGCCGCCATTTTGACTTTTTCGACCCCTGTGACGTCATCTTTGACCTGACCTGAAAATGACCTTAGTAAAAATTGTAGACCTTGTCCGTGCGTATCCGATGCCGTTTACCGCTTGTCGCTATCTTGCTTCGTTCTCGAGATCTCAGGGGGGGCGGTCATCCGCCCCCCCCCCCCGTCGGTACTAAGTTGGCGCAGACCCCCGTCGGTGCGCGGGTTAAGTGACTACAATTATCGCATGTTTGTTACGAGTCGTTATTCGGAATACTTCGGCTGTGAGGGCGCCAAGAGCGTTTTCAAGGTACGCGTTCCTTATACTACATGCGCCTTTGAAGCTGCATTTCTTACTCATTATGCTACCGTTTGTCTGGCCAATTCGGTCAAGTAATCTTCAGCATGTCTTTGCATAAGTGTGCTGCCTATTTGAAATTTATACGGCACGTTGAAAAGTTATGGGCCTGCAAATGAAAGTATGGCTGGCTGGGGTAATGCCGAAAACGTGCAATTACGCACGTTAAAGCACGCTACGTGGACTTTACTGCTGTAGAATAGCAACGCGAGTTTTTAGTCACACAAATTACACTTTCAACCGACACAACGGCCTGTTACCTATAAGGAATTATTTACCTGGCATTTTCTTATTATATCACACAATTATAACTTCCAGTGTGCACCAAGCGTCCTCAAGCTCTTAAATTGCGTGTCAGCTTTGATAAATTCTGGATAAAGTTTGAGATAAAGTGGCAAAACATCAATGTCGGCATTCCCCGTAGATCATTTCTCCCATTTTCGGCTTTCCCCGCAGTCCGGGGCAAAGCCGAAAAAGTCACTTCTTTGATATTTTTAGTTTGTGCGCTTAACGGCATGCGAATTCATCAAATGCGCCTGGTATGTTTGAAAGGCAAAAGACTGGCCTCTCGAATGACGCCAACAAGAATAGCTTATGTTGTCTACCTTGCGTGCTACGGGCGTCAGAAAAAAAAGTATTCGGCGTTCCCCCAACTTCCCCTACTTTAAAGCTTCCTTTTTATGAAAATGGTATATTTTTTACATTCGTGTTCACTCATAAGAGAATTGAGCTGTTATCTTTTGCTGCCATAAAAAAAAACGCGTCGCGCTTTAGTAGAGCGGGAGAAAGGAAAAGGCGAGAAAGACTGCTCGCCAGGCTTCGCTAACCGCAGGCACAAGTGTTCAATCCAAATTGACGTAATTGACTAAATCGTTCAATCCGAATTGGCGTCATCGACTAAAATCATTTGTAATGGTGAACAGACAACAACCTTTATTTGCGAGCATTTACATCTCATGATTGCATCATGTGCATACAACTTTCCAAGTTCTACAACCTACATTGTTACATCGCACGTCCTACAAAAATGCTCTGCAAATGCCGTTTGTGCTTAATCGCCGAGCTTAAATAGATATTGATGCAGTTTATCATTAGGTACAACTGAAATCTGACGAAAATCAGCCTCTTTGAAGGCGGGATCGCAGTGCTGATAGTCTGGACTGCCTGAGGACCAGCTCTGTCCCTCACCTAGCTGAGATTCTGCATCCATCTTTGACCGACTCGCCCTTCCTGATTCCCGAACCTCCGTCGCTACTCGTCCACCCTCGGCATGGACGGCGATGCTCGGTTGGCTCCGGACAGTGACGGCCGGGAGGCCAGCAGGCCGCGGGACGACTTGGTGTGGATGTTGCAGCTGGCCACCGAGCTGACCGTCTTGGTGGCGATGGCGTCCGCGTCGTATCCCATCATCTCCCAGATGTCTGTCTGCGGCATGTCGGCGCCGGGGATGACCAGCAGCCGCGGCAGCACGGCCGAGCCGCTGGTGCTGGAGCGGCGCTCCGTCAGAAAGGCCAGCTGGTGCACCGTGCGCGGCACGTACGTCGGCGCCGTGAACACCTGCGGAAAACACAAATAAACACGGTGAATTATTGAGAGCAATCATATTCGAGCAAAAACGGACGGTAGGCGCTGATTTTCGAACGCTAATTATTATTTCAAGAAGATCCGATTCTGTCTGTCAAGATCCACAAAATTTCAGTCATCAAAATTCGACAACAAACTAAAATATAGCCGACGTTAAATTATACCGACGGTAAGCTTCGGTTTCAAACCTACTAATCGAGCTAAATAGGTTTTGCGATGTGTGAAATGGCACAGACGTATCGCTGAAGCGCAGTGACTCACCTCTCTGGTATGGGGATTCATCGCCTTGCCCTGCACTAAGATCACGTCTTCCAAGTAATCAACCGCTGTGAATGTCTTCTTGTAGTCGAGCTTGGGAAGGAAGCATTTTTCTACGTATATTTTTATCCTTTGCTGCGTCCACGACTGTAAACGAGTGGCCGAGTCAAACGAATGTAACAACACAAAACTGAAAAATTTAAAATGTTTGGTCTGCCATTGCCAGTGCAGCCACTGAAGCGTCGCGAAAAGAAGCGTCGCCAAAAATGATGCCAACAGCCTATTCTAATACGTTATTGTTTTGCTTTCGTGAGTGGCATGCTTATTGCTTATATTTTCATATAGTTCATTATGCGCTCAAACGCGGCTGGAAACCACTGAGGGCGGCCCACCTGGTACTGGGACTGGTCCATCAGCACGTTGATTGCCACTCGCATGGCGATGCTGCGCCACATCATGTACTCGAGGTTCTCGGGACCCTCGCCGAACTTGGAACGCATCTCTGCCATCACCTGTTGAAAGACACAAAAACTTGTTGCAACAGCAGCATCGGACACCGGCCTTGGGGACGTAGTCCGTGCGCAGTTCTACTAAAGTTGATGCTGCGAGAACGGATTTAACCCTCGCATGTGTGCGGCGTTTGCCAGCTTCTAATGTGTAGGGGGGGGGGGGGGGTCGGTTGGACCCCCCCCCTTGCCGTTTGGCCCCTGATCGAGCTAGAGCTTCGCGGAAAAAAACGAGCGTGTTGCCCGTGACGAGAGGAAGCCGATGATACCCAATTTTAAGGTCCTAGGTCATTGGTTGACCTTCCAGGTCAGGTCAATGACCCAAAGTCGGGAAAATCGGGACCTGTTAGAAAGTCGTAAAGTGTGGCTGCTAAGGGGTTTTTCGGGGTGCTGATCACGAATATCGTGTTAGTTTTGATCACAGATGATGTCTTGAAGCATTTAGACCAGGTCGGGTCAGGTCAGGTCAGGTCAACCAGTAGGCGTCGTGACGGGCATTCGTAGTACGTGTCAACCGCCTCTGACAGCTTCGTAACATGTTACGAAGGCACCAAAACTACTTCGTAAATGTTCAAATGGTTGCTAAATTCGAATTCAGCTCCAAAAACTAGCCTAGAAACATGTAAAACTCGAAAAAGTGAACCGAGGTCACCCGAGGTCACCAAAGGTCAATGACCTGACCTGACCTTCAGGTGACCTTGACACCCACCCTAATGCATGGAAGCAACATCAAATCACATGCTTGAACGTTTGAAACCTCGAAAAGCTTGCAAACGCGCGGCTAATGCGAGCCGACATACGCAGAATCGCGATTCCGGCCAAACATGGTCTCGGAAAAGAGGTCACAGGTCAAAGGTCATTTGGGTCAGGGTCATGAAATTTTCAGGGTAGGTGTAAAATTGATCAATGGGAGGGTACTGAAAGTTTCGTCGCGATCGGCCGCTTTTTACGCGAGTTATTCGCGAAAAACCATGGGGGGGGGTCCATCCGACCCCCCTACACATGCGAGGGTTAATGTGGTATAATTTCCGGACATAGCGCGGATTCTTCGCGTCACATCCCTGTTATGCCCAGCTGACTG